CAGCCACCAGCGCCTCCGGCCACCCGTCCTCCTCGTGCAGGCGCAGGAACGGGTAGCGCGATGATAACTGTTCTCTCTGGCTCGGCGGTGTTAGGGGAGTTCCCATGGACCTTGCGGCCTGCATTGTTGGTGGTTGTCGCTCCAGACTTCGTTCAGTCAGCAGCGGCGTTGTGGAGGGCGATGCATGGGGTGCGTCTCGTTCCTTGTTCTGGCGTCCCTTCGACTTTGGAGTCGCAGGAGGCGTGTGCGTACTGCTGGTAGTTGCGGCACGCTGCTGACGCGCAAATGGCTGTGCTGGTTGTTGCTGTGCTGTTGCATGTCTTACAGTGGTCGGAAACTCCGTGGGTGTCGCTGGCAGCGTCTGCTGTGTTGCGCTGTCTCGCACTGAAGTTTGTCGTTCTGGCTCCTCGTACAACGAAGTGTAGTCGCGAAGGGCGTCCTCAGCCGCCGTAAGTTGTGAGGAATCAGCCGTAGGAGTACTGCGCATCTTCTTCAGTACGTTCTGCAGCCGCACAAACTCCTCATCTCCGTTAACGCTGGTGACAGTGATGTGAGGTGCGATAAAGGGCAGATCGGCTCTCAGTGAGCTGTCCGCTGCGGCGTCATCGGCGTCGCGCCGCGCGGAAGTCTCCACGTCCGCTGTGAGCGCTTCTGCCCCGGCCGGCTTCCTCTTCTTTCGCTCGCTACCGCTTCTGGGTGTTCTCCCCAGGTCTGTGTGTGTTCGCAGGTACTCCAGCTGGTTGCTCTCCACTGAAATCGACCGCGGAAGTTGTGAGAGGAGCCTATTCCAGCTACGAGAGGTGCGGAGGGCAACACGATCCGCTCGATTTGCTAGACGGACACGCTGCAGGCTGGCGTCTGTGCTGTTGAGCCCTCTTTGTTGAAGTAAAGTCTCGTACTCACCTTGAAGCGCCGTGTACCGGCTGTCCTCTTGCAGTGGCAAGTTTCGAAGAGAGATGCACAGGCGGGTGTGGTAGAGAAGGAACGGCTGTGCCAGTAGTCGGTGCTCATCCGCGTAGAGATTGGCCAGCATCAGCGCGCGAACGGAGATGGCGGCCTGGTGGAGTGCGCCATAGGCAAGTGGTGCGGTTGGTCCGTGAAACCCCTCTCTCGACGACTGCGACCACAGCTCAGCGAAGTTGTCTGGCAGGTTCAGCTGTGTGGAGGGGATGCCAAGGACCTCCATTGGAATTCCGCGGTAAAGCTCCTGCAGCCGGTGCTGCTCTGCCAACTCCTCCTCTGCCATCTCGTCTACTATGTGCACAAGCTGCTGTGCCTTGTCGGCAAAGGACTCTGAATGGTGCGATGAAGCGGAGTCGGGCAGTGACACCCACGAGTCCGGGGTGGGATTCCGCGTGCTGCCCTGCTCTCGCCCCGGCGCCGCGTCGCACGCGAGTGCGTAAAGCGCCGCCGTTTGCCGTCGGAAGTCGCCGCAGCACTCGAAAGGCAGCGCACACAACGGCACCGCAGGGAGGGGGCGGAGCGACAGATAAGGGTAGCGCTCGGCAACTTCCTCGTTCGAGGCGTTGCGCAGCATCCGCAACGCGGCGTCGTCGCTCGCCAGGTGCCGGATGTAACTCCGAATCTCCTGTGCGCAGCGGGCAGCATCTCTCGCAGCCTTCGCTGTGGGTGGCTGCTGCTCCGCATGGGCGGCGTAGTACTGTTCGCACTGCAGAATGCGGGGGACGCTCTCGAGGCCGACGCTCGTCCACAGCGGGGCCGCATCGCCGCGTCGCAAAAATCCCCCAAAGCGCTGCCGCAGGGCCGCCTCTCGACTTCTCAGCTGGCTGGCCAGCTTCTGCGCACGCGCGTCCATGCGTGTCTCGCTGGATTGCATGCGACGCACCGCCAGCTTTGGCTTCGCGGCGAGATGGGTGTACTCCTCGTAGTACTCGCAGAAGGCGGCGTCCTCTTCGAGATGGAGGTCGTGTAGGTGGATGCCGTCGTAGCGAGTGTGTAGAAAGGGGTACTTCGCCTCTGTGCGGAGGCGGTCACGCATAATGCCCACACGAGCCTTGCGAGCGCGGCTGTGGCGGAGCTCAAGGTGCTGCTGCACGCGGGCGTAGAGGACGTCGTCGCTGCAGTTGCCTTGATGCCAGCGCAGCTGCAGTCCGTTGTAGAAGGTGTCAAGTTGGTGCGGCAGCCCCGCCTGGATGTCCGCAGGGCAACGCATCGCCCGCAGCTGCGGGTACCACTGCTCCATGTATTCCACATCACGGTTCTCCTGTCCACGACGCTGCACAGCAGCCACAACGTGGTCGCGGCTCTCCACATCCACGGTGATGTAGACGCTGGCATTCCATGTTTCCAGCACATCCTCAAACACAGCGCTCAGGTGCTGGTGGTGAAGGCGCGGTGAGCGGAGCTGATAGCGCTGCTGCAGCTGCTGGGACTCGGAGCGACTGTACAACCGCTCGAGCTGGCCTCGTTCCCAGATGGCGGCGCATCGGGCCTCGACACGGGCATCTAAGACACGAGGCGGCATCACCTCCTCCGTGGCGCGGTCGCGGTGCTGACGCGCCAGCAGCAAATCGCGCAGCGGGCCGTCGTTCGTCAAATCGGCAAGGAAGAAGGAGTGAAGCAGCACCGCGGGGGTCCAGGCGGAAATCGACTGCCGCCAGTCCCACTGCTCCCGCTCCCACGCATCCACGCGCTCGCCCAGTCGCTCCATAACACGACGCAGCTCCGCGCCGGAGGCACGATGCGCCGCCTTCCGGTCGTACTCGCCCATCAGCTGCTGAACCTGCACGTCCTCAACCACCTCAACAAAGTCTACTGGCAGCATGAGATTTACCGCCGCGCCAAACGCGCTGATGAAGCCTCCCTCGACGGTGTGTTCGTAGTGACGGCGATGCGCCATCCGTCGCGCCTTGATGGAGACGTAGGCAAGCATGAGTCGTTCCTGCAGCCGCCTCTCGTCCGACTCCGCTGCCATCCGCAGCCACGGCGCACTCAACTCGCGAAAGAGTCGGTCATGACCCAGGAAGAGGCTCTCGACGTACACGCCGTCCACCTGCGGGGGGAGAAAAGGGAACCGCTTCAGAGTCGCACCCGCGAGGAGAGTGCGGAAGAGCTCGCCGACGCGCCGCTTCATCGCAGCCTCGAGGCGGAAGGCTTCATCCGTCCCCGCGGCCTCCTGCGCGCGGTAGCGGGCGAGTTGGACGAAGGCACCGTCCTGCAGCGGCCGCACATCGTCCCAGGGGACGCCTTCGCAGCCGGTCGCGAGAAACGGGTAGCGCAGCAGAAACCCGGTGAGAGGCGTTGGGGCGGTGAGATTGGGATGGCGGAGCCGGTAGAGAACATCGAGATTTCGCAAATAGGCAACGTAGTCGGGGTCGTCGTGCGGCACCTGCGCGGCGTCCAAGGCGGCACCGGCTCTGCGCAGCGTCTCCTCCGCCTGGTCCAGCCACCCCAGCTCGATCTCGATGGCGCCGCGGTTGGTTACGACGACGCCGTACTGCCGACTCGCCGTGCCGTAGTACTGCGCGGCGTACGCAATGGCCTCGTTCGTCAGCTCGATGCACTCCTTCGCGTACAGGCGCAGATCCCAGGAGCGATACACGTGGGCGGTGTCCATGAGCAGAGTGTGTAGCTCGGCAGCAAAGGTGGGCTTTTCTTTTGAGAGAGCGATGGCAGTGCGCAGGGCCTGGATGGCGCCGGGGAAGTCGCCTTCGTACTCCAGTTCCCGCCCCAGGTCCCACAGGTAGTTGATAAAGAAGTCTGAAGCCCATCCGATGTTGCTCAGCTCGACGGAGTGCTTCACCAACGACTGCGTGTCGACGGAACAGGAATGGAGCAGCTTCTTGCACCGCAGTAGTCCGATGTACGGCTGTAAATGCAGCCAGGCCCCGTGCTCGCTCCGCAGGTACTTCGGCATTCGGTCAATAGCGGTTTGAAAGTAGAAGACAGCCTCCTCCACGCAGCTGCGCAGCTCCGCTGGCGACTCGACAAGGCCCTCCGCCACGTCAACGAGCCAGAAGCCGTATTCGGTGCAGCGCCTCCCCTGCGTCTTGGCGCTCGCCCACGCCTCGTAGCCGCCCAGCACCTGCGGGAAACGAGACCGCCCCTCCTGAATGCACAGCCAGTCTCGTGTTTTAAAACACACGTGGCACACGCAGCGCTCCATGAACCAGCGAATGAGCTGCAGCGGACCGGCGCGTTCTTTCTGCGCCGCGGCGTCCTCTCTTGCCAGCCTCAGCGCAAGCGGGAAGCGCTGCTGCCAGCACGCGATCTTCCAGCATAGCGGCAGGCAGAATGCATTCCAATGCGGCGCGTCTGTCTGCACTTTGGTGTACGCCTCCACCAGCAGGATCGCCACGCGAGGGTCAACGAGCTGCGGGACAACAGTCGAGTTCACAAATGGCTTCCACGTCATCTGCACATCGCCGCTCTCCTTACGGATGGTGGCGCCGAGGAGGTGGCACACGCGGTCCATAATCCGCGACCTCCACTCCGCACGAAAGCCCACGAGAACCTCGATGATGTCGCCATCCTCGTCGGAGGTAACGCCGTACTTTTTAGAAATGGTCCCCAAAAATTGAGCGCGGAAGAGCGGCGCAGAGGCAAAGACGAGGGCGAAGTACTTCGACAGCGCACGCGCCGAAGACACCTCGTCGTAGGCGATTCGCTTGCCCTGCACCTCGATGTAAAACTCTTGTTTGAGGGTGCGGCTGACCATCTCACACGCAATGAGATGCACGGCGTCGCGGACCGCCTGGGGGTTGTAGTGGCCGGCGGAGAGGACGCGACGTGCAACTTGCTTCAGCAGGCACAAATTCACGCCGCGGGTGTGCAGAACATCGCACAGCTGCCTCAAAGTGTCGCTCGTGCCGACGGAGGGAGGGGAGCTAGAGCACACCAGCATCACCGCGTCCTGCAGCACCGGATCGTCCAGTACGGCCATGGTGTTGTCCGCCCCGTCGATCACCTTCGGGCAGGTGCGCAGCATCTCCTGCCGCTTCATGATCGTGTCGTCCAGGAACAGCGGCGTCAGCGTGGCATTCGAATTGGTGACGTAGTAGCGCCCGTCGAGGGCCTCGTACACCTCCATGCTGCTGTCCGGCAGGGCAATGTGCAGTGCCTCGGCCATGAAGGCCATCTCCGCCTCCACCTCCGCGTCGTTGGTGGAGTTGGCGCCGTAGAGCCGCTTCGCCTGCGTCGTCATGGGCACCAGCGCCTGCGCCAGCACCGGCATCCCCCGGTAGTAAAACATGACAGACAGCGGCACGGAGAGGAGAGCGCTGCCGCTCTGCAGAATTCCCCGCAGCGAGGCAATGTAGTTGCGGCCCGACCGGCTGTCGGGCAAAACACGGAAGAAAATGTTTTTTACCTGGAAGCACTGCACAAACTTGGGCAGCTCATGCGGCATGTCCTTTTCCAGCCGCACAATCTGAACCACCGTCGTGGCGGCTTCCTTCTCAAACTCGCGCGCGATCTGACGCAGTGCGTGCATGCGCTGCTCCGCCTGCTCGATTGTGTGGTCCTCCATCTCCCACGCGAGCTGAAACTCCGCATTCCAGTTGCGGCCCCGTGGGGTGATCTCCGCGCACGCCGCCAGGTACGGCTTCGGTGCCGTCTGCTGTATCGGGAAGGACGGATTGCGACGGATGGCGAGACGATCTTCGGTGGCCCAGCGACTGCCCTGCGCGCTGGCAGAACGGGCGAAGCGGGTCGCGCTCAGCGGGGTGTCACGCACGGCATGGTCGCGGTTCATCGCGAGTGCGGGGCTGCGCACCGGCGTCGCACTGGCAGCTCGTCGCATTGCTCGCTTGGGAAAAGGCACGAGTACGATGCAGAGAAGAGGAAACAGACAAATAAAACGATCTATGAGTTTGCGTGGTTCGCGTGCAGCAGACGATGGGACGCTAAAACCGGGAGAAAAAAGAAGAGCGAGACCGCGTTCAATGCTCACCAAGCAAAGATGGTGTTATGCGGTAGGCAGCACCGTTGGGGTGTTGTCTGCAACAGGAGTCACACCGAAGAAACGAAAAAGAAGAAGTTGAACGCGGCTGCTGAGGAAGTTTTGAAGGAATGAAAATGCTGCCACTTGCCGATTCAAACGCAGAGAGAGAATATAGATCTACAAAAACAGTGCAAACAGAATCGTTCGCGTCGCTACATACATAAACTGTTTTATTTATATATATACGCGGAAAGCACAACCGCAGGGAAAGAAAATACAAGAAGAGGTCAGCACAACGCGGTGCACAGCAATCTGACGGCGTACTTCCTCTAGTGCAAAGTGCAAGCGGTACCCAGCGGTGTCACCGTGAAAGAAGGCTCTGAGGCAGCCCCTACAAATACAAGATGAGAGTAGATTCCAAAATCGCACGCCACACGCAAGCAGTTCGATTCTAGGTTGAGCAAGAAAAACTACGTAACTAACATTCAAAACACGGGAGCCAGTGGCCTCGGTTGTACAGGGAAAAGAAAGTCAGATGATGCTACAGAAATATGAAGCACTTGTGTGGATGGCGCACGCACCTGCACGTGTATTCGGCGTCACTGTACGATAACGCTGCTGTACGGCGGTATTTTTGTGCTTGTGTGTCTTAAATGCAGAAAAGCAGCACAAATCGAAAGCTGTGTGTATGGTACGTTCGTTGTTGCTTTGTTCGGCCACACAGGTGAGAAAGTTTGCACCTTTTGCGGGCTTTTTGTTTGCTTTTGAGGAGAAGTGGGAGGTGCCGCACGAGCTGCGCCGGCACGTTTGATCTAGAGACAGTGAATAGGTTGCTTCTTACCTTCACATACTCAGCGGCGTTTACGATGTGATGGTCGTCACAGGTAGAGCAAGAGCAAGGGAGAGGAACAAGGAACGAAGGAGGAAGGAAAGAGGAAACTATCATGGGTATTCGCCGGTGCAGATTGTGCTACCAACTGCTTAATTTTGAAAGAAACAGATAACATGTTACGTTAAAGATGGAAAAAGAAAAATACGTTAAGGCTTGGCCAGGCAATACGTGTTTCTACGCGATGCCGATGACTGCATTCAAAGGCTCATTTTAGAAGTCATTCAGCGAAGGGGCATGCAGCTGATCCAACCAGAAACATTCGTATTTGGGTAGACTACTACCTCCGCACAGCGTCGGCAAACAGAGCCCAGGGTCGTTTGGCGGACTTTCTTTAAGCAGCTTCTTTTTTGGTTTCTTCTTCGATGCAACAGGTAAAAACGGATGAGCGGGCCAATGTATCGCGGACTCTAAAACGAGGAGGCGGGGGCAAATAAAACTGTTGAATTCGGATTTTCACCCGGAATGGTCTTTTCCCTTCGCACGTGATGCGCAGCACAACGTCAAGGAAATAAACGAGGCAGTCACCAGCCGTCATCGCAAGCGCCGTCCACCACCGACAACGGACAACCCGTGCACGCGGATCGTGCACATCGCAAACCGCTTACTCGTGCATCTGCAATGAAGGGAGAAATGACAGCCAGGAACACGGTAAGAAGTACAGTAGAGCGGGCAGTTCGTCTGCGCAGCTGCCACGAAGGAAATGAAGAAAAGCGAAGAGGAACGAAGTTAGACACGACGATGAACACCAGAATATAAGAAAAACGAAGGCGACATGGAAGAACAACAAAAGGCAGCGCAACGAAACGGACCACGCAGACGCCCCGGAGCTTGCCAGCATAGATGACCCAGCGCAACCGCAGCTGTGTGGGTATGGGGCCTCTTCACCGCTGGCTTACCACCGACTTACGCGCTCGAGTTCTCCGCAACGGCGGCGCAGTAGGCGGCGTAGTGCTCCGGGTCCCACTCACTATAAACACGAAACGTGTCGTCGCGCAGGCCCTCCACATCCAGCACCGACTGCGGCGTCCGCTTCGCCATCGCGTAGGCTGCCGTCAGTACCTGCGTCGCCTCCTCGTAGTCGCGGTCGGCCGCCAGCTCCATCCCGAGCTCCCACAGGTACTCCGTGCAGTAGTCGGCCGGGGCGACGACACGGGAAAAGTAAACGGCGTCGCCCACCAGCGTCGTGAGTGGCACGGACGCGCTCTTCTGCCCTAGCTGGTGGCACCGCACCAATCCGAAACTCGGCTGCAAGTACAGCCACGCCCCACTGGAACTGCGCAGCCAAGCAGGTAGTAGCCGCTCCGCCATCCGAAAGTGCTGGGCCGCCTCGCCGAGCACGTCGAGTACCGACGACGCCCCCAACAAGCAGCAGCCCACCTCGATGTGGCACCGGGCTCGCGTAACGGGACCGGCGCGGTCCTCGTAGACCTGCAGCATCGGTGTGACCATCTGCAGCGCTTCGCGGATGTTGTCCAAGGCGGGGACACCAAACAGCAGCTTCGCGAAGGTGCGCTGCGCCTGCACCGCTCGTATGGACGCCGGCCCGTACCGCGCGCTGACGTGCTCTGCCGCAGCGCTAGCAAGGTTGAGGGCGTCGCCCATTCGCCTCTGCCACACCGCCACTTTAATCTGCACCGGGCAGCAGAAGGCGTAGACGTGCGCCTCGCAGGTCGGCGAGTTCCGGAACAGCGGCTCCAGCGAGCACAGCAGCGACGGCTCACGCATCGGCGGCGTTATGCGGCTTGCCACGCGCGAGATCCACACGACGGTGCGCTGATATGCACCGACGTCGACTGGCAGTGCGCTTCGTGCCCCGACGAGCCAGGACACACGCTCCACGATAAGACTGCGGTGCTCGCGGCGCACCTCCCGCAGCACCCGCCGAAGCGTCTCGGCCTCGCCGTTACCGTTGCCGACGGAGTACTTGCGCAGCACCAGGGAGGCAAACCTCTCCTTCCCCTCGTCGTGAAAGGCGGCGCGCAGATGCAGCGCCAAGCACTTGCTGATGCCGACATCGTCCATGCCGAGCCGCTTCCCTTGTACTTCCGTGTAAAACTCCTGTTTGATGGTGCGCGCCATCATCTCAATGGCGACCGCTTCGGCAAAGCCGCGACAGGAGGGGGCGTCGTCTCCGAATTTGTTCTGGAAAGCGTCCAGCACGCCCTTCAACAGGCACAAATTAATGCCGTAGAAATGAAGGGTCCCGCTGAGGAGGTGGCCCTGCTGCTCCAGAGGGGCGTCCAGCACGTGGAGCAAGGCATCCATCACAGCAGGGTTGCGGAGCACGTTGAGAGTGTCCTCGCAGGTGGCCGTCACGCAGGGGGACAGCACCAGCATCTCCGTTCGCTTCAGCGGCCCGCTGATCAGCGTGGAGTCGTCGAGCGCGATGGTGGTGATGTTTGTGTTTGCTACATACTTGCGTCCGTCAAGTCCGCGGTAGACCTCGCACACGATTTGGTCCGGCAGCGGCGTGTTGAGTGCGTCAGCGATGATCTCCACCTCCGCGACCACTTCCGCGTTCGGTTCTGCGTCGTCGCCGTGCAACTTCTGCGGCTCCGGCCCGAGCGGGGCGAGCGCCTGAGCCAGTACGGGTGTGCCTCGATACACAAAGAAGACGGTTAAGGGCACCGTCAGCACGCTGCTGCCGCTCAGCAGCACGCCGCGCAGCGCTGCCACGATGCTGCGGCCCGATCGGCAGTCCGGAAGCACGCGGAAAAGCACGTTCTTATCACGGTAGCACAGCAACGCCTGTGGCACCTGTCGCGGGGCATCGGCCTCCATCAGCACAATTTTCATTGCAGCCTTCAAAGCCTCCTCTTCAAAAGCCTTTTCAACACGCATCAGCTCTGCCTGGCGCGCGGAGGCAGACTTTAGCGTGCTGTCATCCTTCTCCAGTGCAAGCTGGTAGGCTTCATTCCAGTTCGTGCACCCCGCGGAGAACTCGCCGCACGACTTCACATAAACCCTGTCCATCGTTGGCAGGAAATAGAAAGAAAGAAAAGAAGAGTCTCCCTGCGTTGTTGCTGCGATGCGTGCCACACGTTTCCCGCCAACCTCACACCAGCGGCTGATACGGAAGATAAATCAACAGTCAAAGAGAAGCAATGTCACGAGGGGAAATAGTATTTGAAAAGAAAGAAAAATAACGATGATTCGGTGCGCAAGACGAAAGAGAGTGAAAATTGAGAATAAAAAAATAGCAGCGTAGAAGCACAGAGCACTCCAACCTCTTCGGTTCAGCTCCACTGCGAAAGGTTTAAACGACACGGTGCGAAGAATGGCGGTTTGGGAACTCTTTTTAGCGTTGAGTTGCACCGGATAAACCTTCCTTTGCAAGCCAGTAAAGCTAAATGTCTCGGAGGAAGACAGAAAAAAAAAACCCGACGGCTGTGCGGGGACGCCAAATCCTTCGGTGCACGTCGCCTGTTTCTACGCTCTTTGCGTGTGTGCGTGCGTGCGTGTGCGCGTGAGTCGTGGCCGCACCGATACGCTGAGAAACAACCTACCGGAAAAAATAAGCGCCGCAGTCTGCAAGGTTTTGGATCAGGCGATGTCTGTGAGAAGCGCATTGGAAGAAAAGAAGGGAAACAGAAGGAGAAAGGAGACAAGTAACGAGAACAGTTATGTGTGCCAACCGTTGACGGAGGAGAGTGCGTGCATGAGAAACCAAAAGTATTCAATAATATCCAATACGCGCTTACTCAAATTTAGCTTGTTTACCACGTGTACAGGCTTTGAGAGATAAGAGTAGTAAAACCTTCGTGTCCCGATGTCATCCACCTGCCAATCGCCCCGTGAAAAGAGGCATCCACACCGCGACTGCACGCATTCGCCCCATTCTGGTTTCTTTCAAAATTCCGATGGCAGTCACTCTAAACGTACAACAAACGAGCAGTGCATTCTCTTCTTGCCAAGAGCTGACAAGACGTCTAGTGCATCGTTCTACACTGAAAATAAGAAATACCTGTAAGGAAAAAGGAAGATGATGAAGGATGAAGTCCGCCGGTTCTAATGGGCGATGCAGTGCTTCCACTTCACGCGCATTGCCCTCTCGGAGCTGTCCCCTTTCACTCTTTCCAGGAGTCCTCAGACTCGTCCCCCTCCACCTCCACGTCGTCCACGTCCTCCACGACTGGGCCAAAGTTGAAGGCGTCGCGGAGCTGGCGAAAGTCCTCGTCCTCTTTCCACGTAATGCGCTCCCGCTTGCGCGCCTCGTCCAGCAGCAGACTCCGCAGATCGGCCGCGGCGCTTTTCGGCTTGCGGTGCAGGGCGTGCGTAATCGCCTTTGCCATCTGCCGCTTCGTCCTTTTCTGATTGCGCAGAATAATGCGCCGCCACGCTCTCTCCTCGGCGGAGACGCAGCGGGCTACGTAGCCGTGGAAAGCAGCCAAGAACTCCGCTCGAATCACCGTATCCACGTCCTCAACGTGCCACAGCTTGAGGGAAATACGGTCGCGGTGCCACTCCGCGATGGTGGCCCGCCGCTCCAGCCGATGGCCTGCGAGGACGAAGGACGTCAGGGTGCAGCCGCGGATGCGCCACGCCGTGTCGGACAGCACCGCCTTCGTCGCGAACGCAAGCTCCGACAAATCGCGCAGGGCGGATTGGATCTTGTCATTGAAGATCTGCACCCGAGAGCCGTACGTCTGCCTCAGCATCGCCTCATTGCGCATCCGTCCCTGGCGGCGCAGCAGGCGGTACCAGTCCTCCGACTGAACCTCCGCCACCAACACGCGGGCGGTCGCCTCGACAACAATGAGGCGATTCATGCGCCGCTGGAAGCGCACCGCCTGCAACGTGCGGTAGCCCGCCGGGTCCGTCTCCTCCATCTTCTTGTCCAGGCGTCGCCGCCCCTTCCACCGCCACACCGCGCGTCGAATCACGCGAATGGCGTTCTCCCGCACGCGGTGGGTCAGAATGCGGTTGTTCTTGTGCCACGTCATCATCTCCGGGCTGGCGCTGCTGACCGTCTTGGTGAGAATGGCGCTCGCACGCCGCAGAAAGCGCCGTGCCTCCTTTAGCTTGTCCATGGTGGTGAGGAGAAGCCCGTAGCTCGTGAGCAGCACGCCGAGCAGCTTCGACTCCTGCGGGCCGGCCTCGGCAAGGCGGATCGCCGTCTGCAGCAAAAAGGCGCAGTCGTTGTAGCTCTCCGTGCCGCCGCGGCGCTGCAGGTCCTCGCTTTGTTCCTGCAGCACACGGACGATGCGGGTGCGCTCGGCCGGTAGCAGCTCCTTTGCCCGCGCGTCCCGCAGTCTCACGAGTTGCTGCGTCAGCGCCGGGTCGCCGATGAGGTGAGCGTAGACGATGAAGCGGCCACACGTCGTGAAGAGGCGCAGCGTCGGCTCACCGAACTCGACGGCGTGCGCTACCCACGTCAGCACCTCCGGGTCGAGGGCGATCTCCCGCAACGACGCACTCGCCAACAGAATCCACCGCGCCACCTCGAGCAGGTAGAAGGAGCCGTAGTAGGTGTGCAGCCGCGTTTGTTTCGTGAAGAGGTGCAGAGAGCGCATCAGCATCTCCAGCGCGGGCTTCGGTGCGTCACGCTGCAGCCAGGCGCGGCCCTCGGTGTGTGTAAGGAGGGCCGCCACGAGCGGAAGGCCGTTCTCCTCCAGTGTCGTCATGCACCGCTGGAAGAGACGCGTCGCCGCGTCAACGTCGTCGCCGAGGGCGAAGCGGGCGTAGGCGAAGTAGGTGAGGAGGAAAATCTGCACCGAGCCTGGCTCCGTCACCCGCTGATGGAGCAGGGTATGCTCCAGCATCTCCACCACCTCCTTCGTCTTTCCCTCGGCCCAGAAGTTCCACGCCGTGAGGAACTGATCGCGAGGAAGAACATCGTCGCTCACTAGCAGATCCGGCTGATGAACGGCGGTGCTGAGGAGGCCGAGGCCGTTCGTCACGTACAACAGCTCATCCGCCCCCCGCACCATCTCGATCCCCGGCCACGCCTCCGCCTGATACGCGGTAAGGCCGGCCTCGCTGAAGAGACGCACGAAGTAGCGCATGTACTCCTCCACGGAGGTCGTGTAGCGGACGCCGTGGCCACCGTCTGATTTGAAGATGAATTGCGGTCGGTGGTGCAGCGGGAGGAGCGCCTCGACGTAGTAGCTGCAGTCAGGGAACTCCACCACGGTGCTTAAGGGAGCCGTCACGAAGCACTGAAGGTGTCGCCGCAGGAAGCGCATGATGCACACCTGCAGAGCGGAGAGACGGTGCTGGGCGGGAACTTGGGTGAAGACCATGTTGTGCAGCACAACGGAGGTGCTGCAGTCAGCCACCGGCACTCCCCGCTGCGCCCCACGCCGCATATCGAGCAAATAACTTTTTGCCGCGGCTTCAAACTCGTCCTCCACTCGCTTCACGGCGTCCATCAGCGTCAGCAGCTCCAACCGGTCCCACGCAACAGTGAAGAGGCGCAGCTGCTGTGCCTCCGAGTTCCAGTGCCGCTCGTCCTTGTCCAGCAAGGCGGACGCAGCCACAATGGGGCGGGAGAAGCTCAGCATGGAGTACGTCTGTGCACGCTGCGCGATGACCTCTGGAGTGATGGTGCCGTAGTAGAGTTGGACCATCATGCGGCGCACCAAGTAGGCCCGCCCGACCCGTTGCATCTCCCGCACGTTGCGCTCGCACTCAGCGCGCACCAGCACACGGCTGTGGTGCTCCCGCCAGCAGCGGCGAATGATGGCGATGGCGAAGGGGCGAAATTCGCCGCGCAGCCTCGCTTCGATCTCCACAATGCGAGACATGACCGGGTGATCGCGGGAGACGTGGGCGGTGTAGCGCGCCGGCAGCGTGCGCAGCTCGTGCAGCCGCTGCGAGGCCTCCACAAACATGCCGCGCTGAATAAAGAGGGAGATGATGTTCTCTACCACGCTGAGGTGCAGCGCAGAAAACGGCCCGGCCCGCTCCTTCATAATCTCCTCCGCGCGGTGAAGAATGCAGGAGCAGAAGAGGCCGTACTGCCGCGCATCCCAGCAGTAGTACACGTACGCGAGTTTGTTCAGCACCTCGCCGACCCGCAGCGCGGTGGGTCCGAGCAGCTGCTCCGTTGTCTCGAGGCATTCCCAGAGCCGCCCCACTGCGTTGGAAAACATGCCGCGCTCGAAGAAGAGGGACCCGAAGAGCTCGCTGATGGAGGCGCCCTGCAGCGTCGGCGCCATCGATCGCAGCTCGTTGCTCCACTGCGCATCAAACTGCTTCACCTTGTCCGCGTCGGCGCGGGTGGCGATGGTAAAGAGGCCGATCATCGCCTGCTGGCGCAGGTGACCGAGAAAGTACTGCCGCTCCGAGTCAAACACATCGGGCAGTCGCAGCGCCTCCTCCAGCAGCTCCTCCGCCGTCTCCAGCTTGCCCTGCTTAATTAAAAGAGAAGCGTGCGCAACTTGAACAGCGTTCTGACTCGGTAAGTGGTACAGGTAGGAGGGCAGCTTTACCTGGAGCGCGGTGGACTGCACAAAGTAGGCCGGGATGCTGTTCACGACGCCGGCAGCTCGTGCGATCAGCACGGCGCTGTCCTCCTCGCGACCGCAGTGGGCGGCAAGGATGGCGGCCGTCGTCCACGCCTCCGCATTCAGAAACTTCTCGCCCAGGTTGTGACCGCGCAGCTTCACCAGCCGCAGCACCTCCCTCCACGCCTCTGCCATCCGTCCGTTGCGGCAGAAGAAGCGGATGCGCAGCGGCACGAGGAAGGCGCAGGTAAACGCGCACGGGTACGCAGACGTGTCCTTGACGAGAGTGTTGAGGAAGGCCCTGTGCGGCGGGCTGAACAAGGTGCTGTAGTTGTGGTGGGAGGGCGTGCACAGCACCTCCGTGACGGTTCCCCGCATTACCTGCAGGCCACTCAATTGGCAAATGCGCTTGATAAGAAGCGTCGTTTCTTTCCGCAGCGCGTGCTTCAGTCGATCCGCCAGCGGTGTCACGTCGGCGGCGTCGTCCCACCAGAAAATGTCCTTCAGCAGCGGCAGTAAACTCTCGTTGAAGCGCTCAGAGGCGCCGCTGATGATCGAGCCGGCTGCACGCTCCAGGTAGGCGTTGACCGTTTTCACTGCCGGCGTCGCGTGCTCCTGCTTCATGGAGCAAAACATCGCACGTCGCACCGCACGGGCCAGCATCTCGGTGCAGACCACCTGCAGCAGCGGCTCCGTGATGTCCTCCAGCTCTTCCCTGGGGTTGGACAGCAGCGCCAGGGCGATGAGGCCGAGCAGACACACGTTCCACCCGCTGTCGTGCAGCAACTCCACCAGACGTGCATTGCGCTTCTCCGTGGGCAGCTCGAGTACCGGCGGGAGATACTGCAGCGCGGTTGCGGCGCTGTCTCGCTTGTACATGTCGACAGCTGCAGCGCTGCCCCACGGTGCGGGGGGATGCTGGAGGAGATGCCGCCACCGTCGCAAGGTGAGGGGCTTGCCATCGGATGTGAAGAGCGGTGGCAGCAGGCCCATGCAGTTCATAAAGTACAGCCGCATGTCCATCCCTTCTCGCACCTCCACCCCCCGAATCTTTTGTTGAGGTTTATGAAGATCTCCCTTCTCCGCACCACTGCTCGGCCCCGCCTGGCTGCCGCTCACGCTGTTGTCCTCATCAGGAACAAGGTTGAGAGCTGCTCGTACCATGCTGAGATGCTCCTGCAGAGGTGTGTGCACTACCGGATCGCCGCGGCCGTTGCCGGTGTACTCCGGCGTCTTCGTGCGGTCGAACGGCACCGCCGCCGCCACCGTCACGACGTCGTTAAAAAATCGGAACGTAGCCGTCAGCGGCGCGGCAACGTGCGGCACGCGACACTCCAGCAGCGCTCGATGACTGCGCTGCATCCACAGCCCCCACTTTGCCTCCGGCCACACGTACACAAACAGATTGCCGTACCGCAGAAACGGCTGTGCGGCGACGGCTGCTTTCCCGGCAACGCTGCCCAAAGAGGTCGCACGGGCGTCCTCCGGCGCCGCCATGTGCATCCTCGCCAGGTCCCTTGCGTGGCTCTCGAACTCCTCAAGAAACGCCTTGAGGGCGTCGACGCGGTTGTAGCCGCTGACGTCGCCGTGCAGCTGCTCCGTCCACAGCACCTGAAACTCACCGTTCCAGTCTCGCGCAGTGCGCTCTACCACCCCACCCGTGGCAGACAGAAAAGGCAGCTGCGCAGCCAAGAAGCCGGTGCGCAGCGGCGTCTCACGGGGGGCGGGCGGCGACAGCGGGGATGGCAACGAGGCCGCTTGTGGGGAAAGTCGCTTCGGCTGTGGCCGTCGTCGACGGGTGCTTGAGGTGTGCTCAGCCGTGGTGAAGGAAGAGCGCGGGGTAGCGCTGTCGGGGATCTGTGCAAAGGAGTTCTCCGCGGAGACGCGGGCCGAGGGTTGCGCAGCCGACGGCGGAGGCGGCGGAGGCGCCGGTGATGAAGAGCTGCGTAGAGGGGGTTGCAACGCCGGCATCCACGCTTTGATCCCGAGGCCGGTGGAAGTGCCTGTGCCGTTAGTGCTGGAAGGGGTTGGGGTCGGGTTTTCAGTCTTGAGGCGAGGGAGGGAGCTGCGGTGCTGCGTGCCGTGTGAGCTGGGAGCACTGGCAGCAGTGGTCGCCTCCCTCGCCAGTGGATTCAAGAAAGCGGACTTCATGGCAGCCGAGGCGCCTGTTCGGCGATGACAGGACAACGAATTCGAATGAAATTAAAAAGCGATTGTCAGTTCTACGAGAACTGAGAAACACAAACGTGCAGCTTAGCTCGCACTCACAGCGAAGTAATACAGATAAAGGAAGAAGGCACCGTAATATTAAAAAGGGAAAAGAATGAGAATAAGGGTCCCCGCTGCGGCTCTCTGCGATCGGTCAGAAGAGGTGAAGGGTCAACCCATGTACATAGATACAGAAGATAGAAGTAAGTAGTGGAAGTGAGGTGCACAGGCGGCGTTGTACTAACAAGAAAAAAAAATTGGCTGCCACGTCTGTTTAATCGCCACAAGATTGTCACAAGCAAGGAAAACAAAGGGAGAAAAAAAAACTCACTTAACTGCTGTCTTTCATAGTAATGCACGTAGTAGTTCACAGCGCCGCGCCCTCTTTCCTCTACGCATCCGTGTCAGCATAAATAACCGGCAGCAGGCCAAGCATATACATCCAATTGTCGGCAGAGACGGACAAAAAGCAAAAGAGGGATCAACTACAACAACAGCGGAAGACTTGAGGAGCTGTGCAAAATGGGCGAGCGAGGGAGACGAGAAGAAGAAAGCACGCGTGTGACGAATACTCTGGTCTTGCTTCCGATGTCGTTGTCAGTGTTCGCCAGTTTGGGTTCCAGAAAAACAGAGGAGGTACTCCAAACAAAAAAAAAGGAACCACAGCGACCCAGTTACGAACGGGCCGCACGCGCACAGGTGAAAAGTCTACTCGCACCCGAGGCCCTCACGACGAGGTAAGTGAACGGTTAGCTCCTTGCGGAAGAGAGGAGGAGGAAGAGAAACGCGGTGGTAGAGGAGTGATGAACGCACAGACGGGGCAGTGACAGGTGCAGCGTTGTCGCTAACAGGATCAATTTCTTTTCTGAGCTCAGAAAGCAGGGAAAACGCCCGCAGTCCGAGCGATGGACGCGACTCTGCGCGCGTGGCGCGTGGTCGAGAGCCGGCGGAGAAGCACCTATATTTTTTCGTCTGCTTCGTCTTTCTTTCTTTCGTTAAAACAGCGAAGAGATCGGTGAGGCGCACGCAAAATAAGCACCATCACCACGCAGCGTGTGCTGGCGCACTTGCACCGGCGTTGCACACAAGCCCCCAACAACAATGTCACAAGAGCAGTAAATACACACACAAGACAAAAACAGGTTCAGCTTACAGGGCGATATTGATCAGGTCATCGTATTCGTCGTGGGTCTCCTCCCTCCCCCGCTTTCGCATCTCCCTCTGCAGCTCCTTCTCCCGCTGCTTCGCGAACTCGGTACGGATCACCTCACTCTGCAGCAGCTGGCGCACCTGCTCCTCCTCGCTCACGCCCATCTTCACCCGCCGCGTCGCCTGCTCCACCACACCGGGCTGCTCGTTCTGCGCCTCGCGCCGCTTACGCTCCTTCTGCCCACCGCGCTTGTGCTTGACGACGTCACCGCGGACGTACACAAAAGGCACGGCGAGGGCCTGCGTGTCCTCGGCCGCCACCTTGCCCTCCGCACACAGTCGCCCAAAGGCCGTCCGCAGCTTCTCCCTCTCCGACTCGCCCAACGCGCCGTCCGGCGAGGCGCCTGCGACATCCGCCTTCGCCACCAGCGCACACTTACGGCCCAGCTGCGCCATTCCCTTCTGCGCCGCCTTCAACTCCGTCGTGTCGGCCGCCTCCTCGTCACCGAAAGCGTCCGTGAAGACGGGCGCTTTCATCAGCAAACCCGCATGCAGCTTCTTCGCACGGGAGCTGCTCGCCACGCTCTGGAAGTCCTCACTGCCCATGAGACGAAGCGCTGCGTCACTCAGCTTGCTGAGCCGCAGCAGCCCGCCGGCCCTCGCAAGAAGCTCCGCTGTTAGACTGGAGCCGAGCAGAGCTTCTAAATTAGGAGCGTCCATTCTAAAGAGCTATTCACCCACCTGTGTGTATGCGTGTTTGGTATTGTTATCGTTTTGTTTTTAGCGTATAGATGCGGAGAGAGAAAATGGAAGAGGAGCAACATGCGAGATGTGCGGAGGAGCCAAGCCTGCCGAGACGCTCGTTAAGGAAACCCCAACCTCGTTCGCCTTCTTTGCCGGTGCTGTTTTGCAAGCCACTGAATCGAACGAGAACGAAAGGAGAAGAGAGAAATTCACCCTGGCGTTTCTTTCTTCCACAAACGCGCCTCGCAGCGTCGAACGTTAGAAGGAAGCACAGTGCGCCGCCTCAGCCTTGATGATGAATAGCCGATTGCCGTCATGAATGTTTGCCTTCTGCATATATTATTTCTGTTTAGACGTGTTAAGGTTATCACGCAACAACCGGGCTGTTCTGCGTTCTTCTCGTTTTATACGACAGCGATTATCCGCCTATTAGGTGAGCACGACAACGAACCAAAACAGAAGCAACAGCATTCGCGCACGCAGAGGTAAACGGGCGGAAAAGACGGCCTTTAGATGTGTGACGCGAGGGTTCATACACGCTACTTCTCCCGCGGGGCGAGCGCAACACAGAAACTGGGATTCCGCTCTCAGCTTATTAGCTAACGGAGAGGGGGCCCTCGAGACGTTACGCAGTTCGTGCCGCCTCCTTTGCGGACCGCAAAGCACGGATTTGGAACACCAACACATCGCATTCGCGCTGCAGCTCGCCGCACTGCACTTCCGCCAACGCCAACTCCTCTCCTCGAGTAGGTGGTGTTACTACGGGGTACGCTGGGGGGTTGAGCGCATCGCCCTTAGTCAGCGACATTGCGGCCGTTGTGCGCAGCTGCTTGACAACCCGTTGTGCTTCCGTGTCGCCGCTGAGTTCAAATGGGGACGTGTACCACCGGCCGTGCCACAGCGCAGCTGCTGAGCTCGTCGCATTGGACGACGTCGGCGGCTGTTTTGCGGAGGGGCGCGCCGCTGTCTTCACGCGGCACCTCAGAGATAACGCCTTTAAGCACTTATGATTGTGAACGCCGTTCTGTTGACGCCTCTGCTGCTGCTGCCGCTGCTGCTGATACGCACATTCTTCACCAGGCGGTGCCCATACTGTGTGGTCTGCAGTCCTCCCTCCTCCTGCTGACCAGCGGGCCTCTGCGCACGGCTGCGCGCCAGTGGGACGACAAGAACCACGCGTGAACACCGCCGTCAGCGTGCTGTCGTCTTGGTTTACCTCAAGCTTTGAAATGAGCGTGCCTCGAGACGTTGCAGAGGCATGAGTCTCCTTCGCTCTCGCCGCAGCGACGTTGGGCTCCTCACCAGGAGAAGCCGGTAATGCCCATTGGTAGAGCCGAACGCCTGCTGACGCACGCGCGGCATCCGCAGCAGCAGCAGCAGCGGCGGCAACGATGCCATCCTCGCCCGCACTCGATACGACAGGCTTCCACACCTCAACGGCAGCGGCGGACTGAAACGAAGTAGGCCGCAGAGCCGCGCACAGATCCACGGCGGCGAGCGAGCGACCGCCAACGAACAGCACCGTCTCATCGGTCGAGCACGCCAAGCAGGCAGCGGCAAACCCTGTGGACAGTGCGGCGAGCACGCTGCCGCCCACCACGTCCACAATGCGCACGTGGCCGTCGGCGCCGAGGCTCACCAGCGTCGTGCCCTCCGACAGAAACTTCACGGCCACCACCGGGACGGTGTGTCCGGTGAGGCGGCGACACCCGGTGAGTCCGCCGTTTGAGAAGAGGGCGTGCAAGGGAAAGACGCAGCTGACGGCATCGTGGCCAGCGGTGGCGATGAGGTGCTGTGAGCTGAGGGCCATGTCGTACACCGGCCCGCAGTGCAACGTGATGTCGGCCATCGGCTCGAGGAGATCGGCGGAGTTAGCGGCGGCGGTGCAGAAGAGAACGTTTCCTTTGTTGGTGCCGATCAGCGCGACTTCGCCGTCCAGGAAAGACAGGACACTCGTGGCAGTGACGCCGCTTGAGGTGTCCAAGGCACGCCCAACTATGTCCGACAGTGCAATGGTGCTCTCAAGCAACGTCATGAGACAGCCGGTGTTTCTTTAATTCTATGAACTTCGTCCAGCGTTGAAAGATGGAAAAGAACAGGCGATTAGAGGCGAGGTGAAGGAAGTGGGGAAAAGCACTGAACGCTGGCGAGAGCAGCCCAACGCGGCCGCAGACAGGAGAAGCACTGGGCACAATTTGGCGATTACAACGCAGTGAAATAAAAACTGCTTTCAGCTTCACTGAATGAAGCGTCGACTCCGTCGCCTCGCCCATCACATGAGTGCGCTGAGTGGAGTACGGGTTGCCTCAAACTGCCCTCTCTCTCTTCCTCCTGTATTTGGACTCCCGTCGATCAAGCCACTCTGCTGACCGCGCGATGCTTCTTTTTCTTTCCGTGAGGATCGCAGCGGCACCGTCAGTGGATGCGCATGCCTATCACCGTCGCGGCACGATGAAATAGTGAATGGTTTACTTTCGCGGCTGTCGTTACTCCAGCATCAACACAGACGTAGCACCCATTGTGAAATACAAAACTCACCACATGCACAAACGGAGCGCAAGCGTGAGAGAGGAGAAGCACAAGGAGGCGAGCAGTTGCAACGGGCCAGCCGACGTTTCCGCTCCTCCCTGGCACGCGCTTACGCTCACGCTGCAGAAAGCCATCAATAAAAAAGTATATATATATATATATGTGTGTGTGACGGCGCACGTGACGCAGTCTGCATAAATACGCGCTTTTTCTCTTCTTTGCTAATCTTTTTCTTTGGTTTAAGACGTCACTATCGCCCTTTTCGTTTACTGCTTCGCCATGTTCAACAGCATACCCGCATCCTTCGGCACAAACGTCACGTTCGGCATCGTCACTAGTTGGTTCGCCACGTCTACGGCAGCCTCGATGCGGCGCAGCTCCAAGAAACCGGAGCCGGACTTCTGGATGGCGTCCGAGATGAGTTGGGCGGACTCGGCCTCGCCTTCCGCCCGCACCACAGCAGCACGCCGACGCTGCTCGTTCTCCAGCACGACGTAGCGGTAGCGCTCCGCCTCCTGCTGGGCCACCTGCTTCTGCTCCACGGCCGTCATGAAGTCCGTGCCGAACTGAATGTCGACCAACGACAGGTCCTCCAAAACGAGGCCGAACTGGTTCACCTTCTCCTGCATGAGTTGGTACACGCGGGCCGACACGGCATCGCGCTTCTGGATGAGCTCCTCGGCCTTGTACTCAGCCACAACCGCCTTCAGAATCTCGTTGCTCACGGAGGGCAGAATCCGCTCGTCGTAATCGAGCCCGAAGGTGCGGTAGATCTGCGGCAGGCGGTCCGCCACGGGACGGAACAGCACACGGAGGCGCACGTTCACCATCTGCAAATCCTTCGTACCGGTCATCGTTTGCAAAGTGCGGGGGCGCACACGCACGTTGAAGCGCATGATCTCGTCGAGGCCCAGGATGCGGCACTGCAGACCCTCGCCGTAGACGGAGCTCTTCAGTCCGTTGATCTTGTTATACAGAATACACGCCTCGCCGGGGTAGACGATGAAGCAGCAGCTGTACACGCCGAGGCCGGCGGCCAGGGCGCCAATCGCGACCTTTTGCAGAATCTTGGACATGGTGATGGTGGTGGTGGCGGTAATAATGGTTTGAAAGGAAAAAGAACGAGGAGTACGCGCCGTGGATCAAGGTGCCGCGCAGGAGCGCAAAACAAAACACGAACCGGATGGTGCTGATTGCCGTAGTGCTGATGGAGGTGTGTGTATGGAGGTGTGTGTGCGTGTGTGTGTGAGTGTGTGAGACAGCAAGGAAAGCAGCGAATGGGAAAATGGAGCAAACAAAGAGGAGTCAAGTTGCAAGCCAGCTTCTACGGAGGTGCTACTCAACGTGTGAACCCTTCAAGACTCATTTACTCGATTCTAAAACCCAGAAAAAGAAAGCTCAGAGCGCTACTTGGTTCGGCCTCTCAGCCCGCCTTGAGGCATTTCTTTCGGCCTCAGCCACGCGTAGGCGAACCGCGTTCTCTAAAGAGGCGTCACGATGTTGCTTTCGGGGGAGAACCTGACCTGTGAAACAACAGGGCAGATTCATCCTGTCTTCTCTGGTGTGAAAATGGAAGCGCGGGTCCACGAGCGCGCGCTTCTGCATCGGAAACCGCTGAACGAGTCAACGGCCAACGTAACTTCCTTGTCGATTTGCTTTTCGTTGGTGGATTTAGCTTATACTGTTTTAGTAAACCACAGGAGCGACGCGCCTCTGTTTAGAAAAGGGAAAAATTTGAAAACGGGCAGCTAACCAACGGCACGCACTCGCAAGAACCAGAAAAGCACACGTAATATTGAGAAGACACGGAAGAGAAGAACAATCGACGGCGGCACACCGAAGACAGACGCCACACACACAGCTGTAATAGAAACCGCAAAACCGGCCGCTTCGACGCCGTTTGAGGATGCTCTAATACGCAAGAGAAAATTCAAGCGCTACTCTTCAAACCTCAAAAAAAGTGCTACACCACGATATAGAATGATGTATATCAGCAGGAGTAAACACGCAGCAAACATCGTGGCCGTATTTGGTGAAGAGAGAAGCACGCAAAGCAAATAAAGGAGAAAAAAAACGCTCGCATCCTTCTGCGAAGCAATTTAAGCATCTCAGTCGCCGCGTGGTGTTTCGTTAACCATGTCAGGTCACAGTAGTTTCCTTTGTGTGTACTCGTGTAAATCATCGAAGACTGATCTTTTCGCTGCATCTGTCGCTCTCCCTTCTCGAGTCGCATATATGTGTGTGTGTGTGTGTGTTGCTTTCCCAGTTAGTAGTGCTTCCTTACCGGCGTTTAGTCCCTCCAAAGTACCCTCTTCTTTTCTTGCTTTTCGCGTAACTGGACACCCTTAAGTAGAGCCATCAACAGCTCTTTATACTGGCTTATTCGTTTAACACCCAGCTTTAGAGTTCAACCGAAGAGGAAAAAGACCCATCTCTCATACCAACAGCAGCAGAAGAGACAGCTTCGATTTACTCCACAAAAGAAAAGGTAAAAGAACAGCGACACCACTCCTTCGACTACTTTTGAAATCGCTGTTTGTAATCCGCAATCACCTTCGCACACAAGCCGTCCTCCAGCTCTAAGCTCAAGAACTCATCCATCACCCCCGGCTCCATCAGTTCCAGCTCCAGCATCGAACGAATGATGCGGCTCAGCAGCCTCTCCAGGCCCGGCTGGGCCCCCTCAGGGTTGCACACGTTGTACAACACATCGAGTTCCATGCGAATCATATTCTCCTCATCCGTGCTCACGTGCGGCACGCGGTCCCAGAAGGTCATGAGGGTGTCCACCGCGAAGTCGTCCGCCTCCTCCAGGCGGTTGTACGTGAGCCGCAGCACGTTCGCCGCATCAAAGTATACATCAGCGCGCGTCTCCTGCTCCGTCGAGGTGAGGCGCAGCATGTTCATGAAGCGCTCGCCGAACTTCGGCGTGTCCTCCAAGAGACCGTCCTCAATGGCAGTCGCGAGGGCGCCGGCGAAGCCGTCGAAGACCTCCGTATCAATCATGAAGAGGCCCACGACGAGGAAGCTGAACGCCTCCCGCTGCGCGTCCTTGCGGGTTGTCAGGCAGGCCGACTTGATCACCTCCAGCGCCACGGCGACGCACAGCTCGCTCTCCGACTCAAAGACGCGATCGCACGTGTTGAACTGCTCCACCCAGTGCAGAATCATGTCATTTGACCGTTCCGACACCCACTCCTGGAACATCGCGGCGACACGCAGCTCGAACTTCACCAGCGGCACCTCCGGCGCGGGCGTTCCGCGGAAGGCGGCCTCGTCAGCGGCGCCTGCATTCGTCGCAGCCGCAGCATAAGCAGCGGCACCAGAGGACGAAGCGCCGGTGCCGCGGTTTTGGAGGCCGAGCCCCGACCCCGCAGGTGAGACAGCGCGAGGGCTGCCGGAAGACTTCGCGTTGCTGCCCGTGTCCCGCCAGCTCTTCGGGTCGCCGGTGGAGAACGCCGCCGTGCCGTCGCGTCCACCGCCCCGCTTCGCTGCGGCAGGAGGCGAGGAGGCAGTCGTGGCGCCCTTCTTCTCCTTTCCATGGGTTGCCGCGGCGGCCGGCGGCTTGGCTACCTTCGCCTTGGCTCCCCAGCCGTTCTTGCGGAGGTCCAGCAGGTCCATGATCTTGAACCGAATGCGGTGCGGGTATGGGCAGTCTGCTTTTTTGAGGAAGCCGGTAAGGGTCTTGAAGTAGCCGTCGAGTTCCTTCTTGTGCGCCGCGTCCATGCGCTCGCCGACGGTGGTGAGCAGAGCAACGAACAGCTCGATGCTGCCGTTCGTCGGGTACTTGTTATCGCCCTGAGGATGAATTGTGGTGGTGAGGATCTCAAACATGGTGCGGTTCGACAGGACGGTGCAGAGATACAGCTCCCCCACAAAGGTCATGTTGGAGCGCTGCCGACGCATCTTGTTGAGGCACAGCATCTCCGCCTCCTCCTCGCACATTCCCTCCGTGTTGGGCTGCTCCCTCCGTGCCATGTTGAACTGCTCTTGCGTGGAGCGAATAACGGCATCACGCAGGTCCGACTGCAGCTGCTTGCCCTTCTCTATCTCGTTCACCACACTCGCCTCGTACATCGCCAGGCTGAAGCACACGCCGGCGTACAGCTTCGCATTCTCCGGCTCGTCCAGTGCCTTCTTAAAGATCATGTCCACTACCATGTCAGTGATCTCGCTCTTGTGGAAGATCTCCCGCACACACAGCTTCTCCAGCATGACGTCGTTGTTCTTCGTCGTGAGCTTGTTGAGTGTACTCTGCACGAGCCGCTGCACCCACTCCTTCTCCGAGTCCGCCGCGCCCTTCGCCACCCACGCATTTTCCCCCCGCACGAGCTTCGTCTGGCCGGTGCGGCGACGACGCACGATCTCCTCGAGGCAGAAGCCCGGGTACGGCGGCTCGCGGTAGTTGTTCCGCACGCTGCGAATCTGATCCACCGTGAACTGCAACATGACTCCGTGGTATTGATACGGTGAGTACGCAGGTACAAAAACAGTGTGTGTGTGTGTTGCTGTCCCAAAAAAATGAAGAGGCTCCTCAGCAGGGCGGCGTTACTCCACGGATGCGGAAGAGAGCGTGAAACACCGAAAGCACCGACGTCTTCCTGCGTCAGCTTCTGCTATTTAATTGGCGGGTGCGGTTTTACCTTTGCAGCGTAGACGCTGTTGTGTGGTGCGACAGTTCTCGTTTTCTTTTCTGATTGAAGAAGAATGTAAGAAGACACGTGGTTGCAAGCGGGAAGACGGCGCAGAGGAACACGGTTGTGAGCACGACGAACCAGGAGAACGACAACAAAGGAAAAAAACAAGTACAAGCGCTCCTTGTTGCTGCCGTGTGTGGGTGCCAAACGTGAAGTTGAACTGTGGGCTTTTCCTGTTGGGTGCTTTCAGCGTACCCACAACAACGTTGAAAAATAAGTGTACGGTTTCCAGGAGGCGAGTATTCGAGAAGGCGAGCGAGAAGAAGAAAAGGGATAGGTGGATTCAGTCGGCATGAACGCGACAGACAAGAAAGGATGCCCTGCAGGACACCAACACACCTCCTTACAAGCTCGTAGGAATGGAAGGCGAACGTCCCGCGACGCACAGCTTCCTCTCCCTCTTTAAGGGTGTGTTATCCCCCGTCCTCATAAACTGGAGTGCGTGATCGGCAAAGTAATATAAGGAGGTGCATGGGAAGTTGCATGTATCGCTCACTATCGTACTGTCTCCTGTCCCTCTTCTGTAGTAGTAAGCGTCACCAACGCCGTTATAGCCGGACCTCTTATCCACACGCCCATGCATCACCGAATGCGCGCCACCGGCGGCCGCCCCGCGGCCTCAGCTGTTGAGGATCGAATTCAAGAAATCCGCATCGTCGTCGGGCAAGGGCAGTACGGCGTTTTTAGAGCCAGCGGCGGATGCGGTAGATCCTCCGGGGTGGGCGATGGCGGTCGACGCTCTTGCTTCATCACCGTCCTTTGCCGTCGCATTCGTCCGCCCGCCGTTCAACGTCGCTTGGGAGGCCAAAAACGTCTCCGCCGTCGCGATCCGCTTCGGCAAGAACCCCGCCTCCGTTCGTCCCCTCTCCTTGTCGATGATGACGGCGTGCCCCTTCAGCCGTTTCTTGCGATGGAACAGCAGCGCCTTGCGGGCCTCTCCGGCAAGCCCGAACTCCACAAACGCGTATCGACGGCTCTTCCCTGTCTTGTGGTGTCGCACGATGCGCACGTTGACGACACGGCCGAACTGATCGGCAAAGTGGCGCAGGTCCTCCTCGACGGTGTCGGGGTGCAGGTTTGCCATGATCACCGTGCGGGTGGGGTCCGACCGCACGTTGAGGTCCGCCGATGGGTTGCGCCGCTCCTTTTCACCGTGGAGCTGGGCCGCCCATGCCTCCTGCTTTGATAGGGGAGAGGGAACGGCGGCGGTGGTTGCCGACGCGTCAGTCGCCGCGTTCGTTTTCCGGCCTCCTTCAACAATATCCTTATCCTGCGCCTCTGCGCACTGATGCAGTGCCAGGGCACATTGGAAGGCCGCATGGCATGCGCGGTTCTTTGTCTTGCCGTGCTGTCGTCGATGAAGCTGTCCAATGGGCGGTGGGGGCGGCCGCGCTTGGAAGAAGGCACGCTGCCACGTTATGTGATCCTCGATTCGTTGCAGCGCAGCCGCCTTCTTCCTCTGCGCGATCGACTCCTCCTCGTTTGCGCTGTCCATGGAAGAGGGGAGGGGCCCAGGCGAAATCAGCACGACGGAGGGATGGTCCTATGTTGTGAAGAACAACAACGCGTGACGCCGTCGAGGCACCAAAACTTCAAAGCTCAACGCTCAGTCCTTTAAAGTACGCATATATTTTTATTGTAGTTCATAGGTGAATTAAGAGGAGAGTGGGGTAGGACAACGGATGAGGGGGAGGAGGAAGGAACAACAGAGCCACCCGAGCCATGACAAACAAAGCCAGCAGAGAAGAAACCAAAGCGTGTGAGCGAGTACGCACGTATTTTCGATTGGAAGAATAACTGGAGAAACGCAGAAACAAAGCGGCGTGAACGAAGAGGGGGCTGCACAAAGAAGCGGCCGATCTTGATGCTCAGAGCAACAAACAAAAAGGAGGGCGACAGACCTGCAACGCCACCTGAAAAAGATGACGTCGTTGTTCCCTCAAACGACGCATGATGGGCCAGCACCTGCCTTCACGACGAGCTGTAGACCTTTCTTTCGTCTCCTCCATCACGCGGTTGGTGCGTCGAGTTCGGAAAAGGAATATCTCCTGCTAAAGTATGGATAAACAGTGCAAAAAAGGAAGGTGATAAGAAAGCGAGGAGGAAACGGCTTCACGTCGATGGGGTAGCAAATAAGAGAGGCGACCGCGGCACCTATCAACAAAGAAAACACATGCATCTACTCAAAAACGAACAGGTGCGTCAGCTGAAAGGAAAAAAAAATCTAAAAAGTGTGATAATCTACGTTGTTCTACCGTGTTCTATCGCCACACGTGTCAGCTAGTGGAAGGTGGCTGGGGAGGTGGAGATTGAAAGGGCTGGGGGGGGGGGGGGCCAGTGCTGATAACGTGAGGGCTGTAGGCAGCATTGGAGAACAAAGAAAGAGTCTCGCAATGGCACGGCAGCTCTGCGAGAATAAACGTTATTTTCACTCCACCGTCGCCGCAGCCGCCTTCGCGGATTCGTGCGGCTTTTCAGCGTCGACGAAGCAGCACAGCTTTTCGGTCGAGTTCGCGACCCACCCTTGCTGCTCGAAGTGCAGCCATAGCGCACTCGCGCGAAAGATGTCGAGCCCTGTCAGGTCCCGCAGCTCCCCTGGTGTCAGGCGCATCTTGCCGGAGTGATGGCGCGACCGCCGAGCATCGATTTCCTGTCGTGTCCTCGCTAACACCTCCGCTGGGATGTGCCAAACACGACTCAGCACCGCCTCCTGCGCGTCCAGCCGCACCGGCGTCACGCACACTTCCTCTTCTTCCTTCGCCTCTTCTGCCTCCTCCGCGGCGTCGTCGGGCTGGCGTGAATCTTCGAAGAGGGGTGACACCTTTGCCCAGTGCGCCAGTCCCACCACCCACGTCTCCATCTCGTTTCGGTTCGGGCAGATGACATCGACAAACTTCAAGTCGCGGTGGTTCGAGCGGGAGTGGTAGACGACGGTGAAGGAGTTGCACACCTCCTCGTCCGTCGCGGCGCGCCTCGCCGGGTGTGGGGCGGCAGCGGCCGCGTTGCCGTACCGCACAAACCCCGGCGAGGACCGGCCGAGGACGAGCTTCGCCACGGCGTCCAAGTAGACGTGGCCGCCACCGCTCAGGCTGGCGCCGCGCCGCGACTCATCCCAGCACAGCATCAGGCGGTCCTCCTTCTGTGCAACGTAAAACCATTGCGGACGGGGGCGCCCGCTGCGGTCCACCTTTATCAAGGAGGCCCCCATGTCCATGTAGGCGGTGACCCGTGTGAGGAGCCCTGGGTCGTCGAAGGAGGAGCGGAAGCGGCCGACGGCGGGCCCCGTCACCGTCGCCGCCGCGAGGTCGGCTTTCTTCGCCTGCGAGCTGTTTGCGGTGCGCAACGATGCATCCTGCTGCTGGAGCACCTTCCAGTACTTGGGCAGCTGCAGCGTCTTCTTCTGAGAGGGAGCTGCAAGCAGCATGTTCGTGACATCGCCGAGTGCGGGTTGACTGGACGCCGCCTGCGTCGTCGCCTTCCGCCGCGTGGACTGCACCACCGCGTTGCCCGCCATGACGAGCACCGCGCCGCGCAGCCAATCTTCGACGGACGCGTGTTTTCTGTCGCACTTCCGAGTTGAAGCGGCGGTGCCGCTGCGGCTGCGTGACTTCTCGGTGCGGGACGCGGCCTCGCTGCCGTCACCGTCGTCTCTGGGCGTCGCCGGTGCGGGCTCGGTGCGCACGTTGAACACCACCAGCTCCACGAAACGGAGGCGGAGCTTCGCCGCTGCCAGCGCTTTTTGAAACGCATTTCCTGCCGCTTCGTCGGACAAGTTTGCCTTGCGAAAGTCGCCGGCGATGCTCACCGGGCCGTCGAAGGCCGCGTCGTCGTAGGTGTTGCCGTGTGGTGCAACCTCAGCTACGTTGTCGAAAGCCTCCAGCTGAGCCTTCTGCGCCGCCGTCGACTGACACAGTTCGTGGCGTGTTGCGGCAGCCGTTTGCGTGTCTGCCTTCATCGTGCTGAGCGATTGTTGCATCGCAGCCTCGGTGTCCACCAGCTCTTTTTTCAGAGCTTCGTTCGCCCGCTCCACCTCCGCGGTAAGCGTGGGCACCTCGGCGCGACGCTGCCTGTACTTCATCAACAACTGTTTTCTTAGCTCGCTCTGTGCAACCTCGGCGAAGCGGTGCATACGGGCCTCGGCAGACTCCGACAGCTCCACCTCCGCTTTCAGTTGGACGCACAGTCGCCGCAGTCGATCAGCCTTGTCGTATCCTTCGCGTAAGGCCGTGTGAAACGGAAGCTGCAAAAGGGGGTGGTCCGCCGCAGCAGACGCCACGCGCCGCAGCAGCCCCGTGGAAAGCTCCTGCTGTGCGTGGAAGACGTGCATCTCTGCCACGAGGGCGTCGTGCAGTCGCAGTGAGGCCAGATAGCTGGTCTGCAGCGCCGCCTGCTGGGGCGAGGTCGCGGCCGCCGGCGCCGCCATGCCTTTCATCTTGTCGGCGAAGTAGAGCGAGGAGAGCGTCTCGTCGCACGTGATCGCCGTGGGGCTTACGTTGACAAAGAGCACCACACGCGCGCGTGGGGCGGCGAAGGTGTCGCGCAGCACCATCGTCAGTTTGCTGTCGCGGTAAGGAATGTGTGCAGAGTTGTGGTAGAGGTGGTGCACGACGTTGCCGAGGGCGGTGAGGGACGCGTTGATGCGGCGCAGCTCGTCGAAGCCGGCGCCGTGCACGTCCGCGTGCTTCGCCTTCTCACTCCCCGCGAGATCCACAACCGTCAGCACGCTGTACAGGATGGGGACACGTCCGTCGTCACAGAGCAGCACGTTCGGCGCACCGACGAAGCAGTCGCAGCGGACAGGAGAGCGGGTCGACGGCCATCCCGGCGCCTTCACCTGCGCATCCCGCATGGCACAGCACTCCGCCAACGTTGGCGGGCGAACACACGTCGGAGTCATCGGCGTTTGAAAAACCTCCACGGCAAAAATGGCGTGAGAGCGGGAGGAGGTGTCGTTGGCCGATGTCGCCCGCTGCACCCGCCGCGCCGCCGCCCGCTCGTACACGGCACAGGCGTCCCGCAGGCTGCGCAGCGGCATGTGGGTGAGCCCGCGGAAGTGCAGGGCGTCCCTCGTCATGATGGGCTGAAGCAGGGCCGCAGAGACGCTGCCCTCCCGTAGCAGGTCGCGTATTTCATCATTGTAAATCTCGACGGCCGTGATGCCGAGCACCACGTGACGCTCGTTCTTCATTCGCATCCTCTCAGCGTAGGTGAGCATGTCCTGGATCGCCCGCAGGAGAAGTCCGCTCTCCGGCCCCACCACCGCCGCCGCCTCCCCGCCCTCCCCACCCTGCGCGGGTTTACCCAGCACTGTGAAGGTCTTTCCGCTGCCGGTTTGGCCGTAGGTGAGGAAGGAGGTGTTCGTGCCACTCAGCACGCCGTCGACACCGTCCAGCGCAGCCGTCTCGTAGACCTCCTCCTGGGTGGTGTCGCCATCGAAGACGTGGTCGTACGCGAAGTGCACATCGCGGTGCACCTTCGCCGCCCGCCGCTCCGCAAGTCGGAGGGAGGTGTCAGAGGTGGGAATGCAGACCACCTCCGCGTAGCGCTCGCTCTGCTGCAGGGCGTTGGCCGCAAAGGCGAGCGTCGGGCGAACCCGCACCGACACCGTCACGCGCGGCTCCTCGCCGTCCATCACTCCACGAAAGGATGCAAGACAGGCGGAGGACGTACAACAGAAGTGATGATACGCGTCGTTTCCAATCTCCGCTCTGCAACAACGCGGCGGTATGAGAAACGATCAAAAGCGATTCTGCTTTTTTTCTTTTCTCCCTTTCCCCCCGTGAGGCGGTCAACGAGCAGCTGCGTCCGCCCAATGCGGTGAAGAGCGTGCCGGTGTATCGGCAGAGAGGAGGAAGAGGGAAGGAGGGGAAGTGGTTCGCCACATGCAGGCAGAGACACACATTTGAAGTACGCCAGAAAGAAGAAAAAAGAAGACAGTCCCATCCAATGTCAAGACAGAAGAGACGTAAGAGCGCACTCAAAGACCCTTGACAGCCGGGCAACGCAGCAGAGTGCGTGTTTGTACAGTAATGTGCCGTAGAGGGAGCGAGAGAGGGAGAGGGAGATGCGCCGGAGGAGACGCTGTGCTCGCCTGCGTACGTACGCGAACAAGCGCGTTTTCCCTCTGAGCCTCTCAATCCCCCGCAGCGTTTCGTTGCTTGCGTTGTCGTCCTTTCCCCCCTTCGCAGCAGCATGAATACCCAGATCGATTACGGAAAGAAGAAGAACAAGAAGAACAAGCGCCATCAAAGGAGCGTCTGTAAGGACAGAACAACGAAAAACAGCGCAGAACGTCTCCCGAGGCACACCAACCAACGAGGAAGGGAAAAGCGAGAGGCAGAGCGCCTCGCTCGCGTCATTGCTGGGACGCTGCGACATCAAAGCACATTACGTCTTGAGCTCCACGTTGATGCCGTCGGTCATAAGCCGCTCAATGATGGGCTTCAGCATGTCTTGAATGTGCTCCTCCACCTTCTTACCCGCCCCCGGAACCGCCACCAGGTTCGACTCCACCTTGTAGCCTTTGATGGGATCACCAAACAGTTGCACCTTCACCCGCCGCTTCTTCACCACAGCGCGCTTTGTCGCCAAGTCGATAAGGGAGTGCCGAGGCGGGGCGGAGCTCGAGAGGGGGGCGGCACGAGCCCACGCAGCATCGTTCGCGGTGGCGTCGGATGTCGCCAGCGAAGCGCGACGCGGCGCCGCGAGGGACGCGAGGGACGGCGCGGCCGGCTGGGGGCTGCCCTGCAGCATTTCAGGTGGTCGCATTGCACGACGTCCGCCGGCTCCTAAGAGCACGCCGTAGCCAGAGCCGGGGAAGCCGCCGGCGCGGGAACTGCGCGTCGTCATCGACGGTGTTCGCGACAGGTGTGGCGTCGCGTTGCTGCGTGGGACTCGATGCATCGACGGCGGCGACGTCGTGTGGGAGGAGCGCGGGGTTGGCGTGGCGCCGTTCCACGACTCCGACATGCCATCGGCGTTTCCACCACCGCTGCTGCTGACGTCCGCCACCTCTTGGAAGATCTCAATCGAGGCGACGCCGTCGATGTGGATGTCGCTCAGCGTCATCTCCAGCGGGCAGTAAAAGGGCATCGACAGGGTGGGGTCGTTGCTCGACGTGGAATTGGATCCGACGGTGTCCACGTTCACCTGCAGCCCCTGCAACTTCAGCGCAAACTCACCGTCGTAGCGCACCTTCACCATGACGGCGGTATGCTCCAGCGACAGCTCGCGAATACCACTCAGCATCACCTGCGGAGGGGTGGGGCCGATCTCTGGCAGCTCTACGTGCACCACGCCACGCACCAGTTTGCTTTCTCCTTTGGCCATAGCGGCACGGATGGCGGTTTCGAGGGAGACGCGGATGGCCTCGCGGTCGTCGAAGCTCCACGTCTGCGGCCAGTCCCATTGCAGCATAATGCAGCACGTTTGTGTGTGTGTGTGTGTGTGTGTGTGTGGATGCGTGCAGAGAGACTTGGAAGGAAACAAACGTCGGTAGAAACGGAAAAAACAAAAACAAAGAAAGCTACTGCACACGGTTCCGTGAGGGTCGATGCATTACCAGAGAAAGCGGAAGGAGATTGTGCGCTGTCTTCCGCAACGCTGAGGGAGAAACGAAAAAGAGGATGTTCTCTCCTGGCGCTGCCTCCAACGGCGTCGGCGCCAACACGCAGCTCTGCGATGCGAAGCTTCAATGCGCATACCGTCCGCGACAGAGATGAAGGAAACAACCAAAAAAAGAGGGGGTATTAGTAATAGAAGAAGCAAAGGAGAGACAGAGATGAAGTGGAGCACCGATAGCTGAACTTGAAAGAAGAATAAAATGGTTTGGGTGTCCTCTTCAGAGAGCAAAACAGGCTGCCATCCAGCACGTCATCAATTCTCGAAAGCGGGAGGTACCTTGAAAGCGAACGCTTCGCTGTTGCTGTCGTTTCCTCTACCATCGCCACTCCACCCAATAAAAGAATTCATAAGGTGAAGGGAAAAATGCGCACACCACGAAAAACTATTTCGCTCACTTGTCAGTGGATCTCCTCCGCTCATCGCCGTCCATCAGCCTTCGGCTCTCCTTTCTCCTTGTCACTTCCTTCTTCGTTTATGAGCTTAGTGAATACGACGACAACGTCGCTGAGAACGGCGCCGCTCCGCTGGAGGCGAGAAAGACAAAAAAAAAAACTGTGATTGAAATCCACTGTTATGATCAAAAGTCCAGTAAGAAACACAAACGACATGCACGTACGCCACCAATAAGGAGAAGACAAAGCCGGCGACCTTTCAGCGGGACAGCTCCTAGTACCCCACCATCGTGAGCGCTACACCTTCCGCTCGCCTGGTGAACGCCCAAACGGAACGGTGCTGCCCAACATGCTGCCCACCTGCTCCTTGCCCGGTGGCTTGGTGTGTTGACCAAAGCGACGCAGCATCATGTCTCGCGGACGCAGACGCCATGCCGTCTTGAGCTGCCGCAGCTGATGCGGTGGGGTATCGGCAATGACGGCCTCCGCATCCTCGCCAAGCGTCCCCGTTGGGCTCGCCGCCTGCGCCGCCTCGACGGACCTGCAAAACGCGTCCACTTCACTGGATGTCCCGTGTGCCGCCTGACACATCGTGAGACAGGTTAGAGTGTCGTCGTTCACACCAATCCCCAGCAGGGTGTACAGGCGGATTATTTCTGCCGACATCCTCAGCGAGCCGTCCGTCGACTGCGCGTTTGCCAGGAGCAGCGAGTTCAAGATGCGCGTCGTCAGCGACTTGCCAAAACTCACGAGCTTCTTCACCTTGCTGTGCGCCGCGCTCACCGCACCGACGTGGGCCGCCAGCTCGATGCATTGGTCGTAGATGGCATCGATGTTGTCAACCGCACTGCCCACCTCCTCCAGTCGCCGAATCATGGCCTCACAGCACACAAGCATCTCCACTGTGCTCTCCGCACTGACAGCACACGCCTGCACAAACAGCAGCGTCATCTCCGGTGTTGGGTTGATATCGCTGTGCTGGTAAAACTGCCGATACACGGAGACGGCCAGCTCGCCGTCGGCCTGCAGGGCGCAGTAAAGGAAGGCCAACGTGTAGAGCACATAATCAGCAGACAGTCCCCGCTGAGGCAGCTGGCCAAAAAGATCGATCAGGTAGTCGCCCATACCAGGCACCGTACGGAGAGCGTACACAGCCCAGTAGTAGCACTCGAGTGAGACGCGGATATTCGCCCCGTCCGCGAAGCTGAGCGCCTCGAGGACGAGGGTTGGTCTCTGCAGCATCGCGCCCATGCGCATGTAGGCCTCCACGCACCCAGTGCTGCGCTGGAGGGCGTAGAAGTCGTACAAGGACCACGCATCCAGCCCACGCGCCAGGTACGTGTCGAGATCCGCTCGCGCCTCGTCCGCGTGCGTCAGAGGAGAGGCGGAGGCGGTATCCGGAGGCGCTGCCTCCTCGTCAGAAGCTGTTGCAGCAGCTGCCGACGCCTTCACAGAAGCGGGTTGGAGCTGCTCCGCTGCCATTGAGACAAGAATCATCGTCTTGGCCAGCATCGAAGGGCGCGGACGCAGGTGCCGCTGAATAACCTCCGTCATCACCGCCATCCCCTCCGCCGGCTTCTTGCACGCCACGCACAACTCTAACACGGCGTCGAAGAAGTATGTGGAGAGGGTAAAGGCCTCGACAGACTTGCCCGCCGCTTCCGCCTCCAGCTCACGCGCACGCTGCAGGTACACGTCCCAGCCTTTCTCCCACGCCCCGCAGACGGCACAGCAGCGAATCATCTCCGCGTGCGTCTCGGGGCCGACGTCGACGGGTGGGATGTTCGTCACAACCATCCGCTCAAAGATCTCCTCGGCGCACGCGAAGCTCGCCACCCGCTGCCAGTCCTCAATCAACGTCAGCTGCTCTAGCTGATAGCGCAGAATTGCCGCACAGCTCTTGTCCGGCATCGGCACGCGTTGATACAGAAAGTCGGTCAGGAGGCGGTTCGGCGTGGGCAGCATGCGGGCGTGGCGCACCAGCTTGTCGATGTCGAGGAGGTGCATGTCACGCTTGAAGTAGCCGTAACGGGTGTAGCGCAGGTTCTTCGCCAGCGCGGTCTGGTTGAACACGTGCTTCATGTGCGGCCGGTCGGGGTCTACCCACACTCGATACGCCTTCTCAAACCCGGGCTCCCCACCAAAGAGGCCCATCGCGGAGGTCGTCAGGGCAGGGCGGTGCAGCTCCTTGTACGCCGCACTCCGAATGTGCTCTTCCAACGCCTTCTGGGCAGGTGCGACGTCGTCGATCCACAACACCGGCTCCACCTCAGCCGCTGCCGGTGCGTCCGCCGCGTGTTCCTGCATGAAGGTGGTGGCGGAGGCTACGGCCAGTGATGCGAAGCACCTGGTAAGTGCCGTGCTGGACAGCATCGCTGCACACAAGAAACGGACTAACGCTTCTCTTTGTGGTAGCAACACGACCTTTTGGGGGGGGGTAGAAGAAGGAAACAGAGAAGTGACTGAAGAAAAGAAATACGTATGGGCGCGAAGATGCCGTCAGGAATCTCCTTCCGTCGCCCGCAGTGTCGAGCACAAAGCCACAGAAAAGTCAAAAGCAAAAAAAAGGAAGGCTGCATCAAACGCGCATTGTCGTTGAAGCCAGCGTCAAAACAAAGAACAGGAAGAACAATGAAAGGAGAGAATGAGGCGGCTAAAGATTTTTGCACCGGCCGAGAACGCCTATGCGTCGAAACGCAGCTCTCTCAAATCCCAAGCTCGTAGTGCCAACGCACAGCCACACATGAAGGGGTGCAGAGTGAGTTCGCAGTTTCTCTCTCATTTCTTCTTCGTCTTTCTTCAGCGGGCATTCGCCTCGCAGACGATGAGAAGACGGCCTTCTATGAAAGCCAACACGAAGAGCGCGAAACCAATTTCCTCCTGCATGAAACCCGCAAAATACTTACGCACCTCCGCGCATCGTTGCGGCTTCAATATATACTCAAGTGAAACTTAGGTTAACTGGGAACAAGAGCTACTTGTCTAAAACAGAAAAAGGAGTAGGTTCGGTTCACGTGTACATACGGCAGCAGCAATGTCGCATTCGTTCAATACATCTCGTCAGAATGCGTTCGCTTTTGTACATCGAAAGGCGTAGGCACGCGAGGATCTAAAAGTAGAGATTAATAATATTGTAAAAGGTACATCTTGTTTGCAGGAAACGACGTAGGACGAAACGCGTCTTTTTTTGGGGGGGAGGTCCTCGCATTCGCGCAGCTACGTTTTCGGCACGGGCAACGGAAGCCCCTTCGCCTTGACCTGCGCCTCTAGCTGCTCGACGATGTTGCGCAGACGACCGATTTCGGAGTGCTGGATCTGCGCCTCACGCGCGTACTCCGCCTCGTACACGGAGACGCCGTTCGGGTCGGTGGGACGCACCACCCCCGCCTTCGCCGCCAGCGTCCGCGCCTCCTTACGTAGGTCGTTGATCTCTTTCACGAGGATGACGTTCTCCGTCGTGATGCACTGCTTCTCCGCGCGGTGGTTCTCCTCATCCTTGGCGATCTTTTTCTTGAGGCTAGCCAGGTTACCCTCGAGGTGATCACGCTCTCGGTGGTAGTCCCTCACCTCGTCCGTGGCGGTGCCGGCGGAGTTGAAGAGCTTCTGATTCGCCGGCTTCCGGCCAGAAGTGTAGTTGTCATGCAGGGCCTTCGCCATCGCCTTGAGACGCTTTTTGTCCTTAGTAGCTTGGTACTCGCTGTAGGTGTCCCCTATCTCTGCCCACATGCGGCTTTGGTAGGCCTTTGCCTCTGCGATCTTGCCCGCCACGCAGTCCAGGTCCTTCTGATGGGCCGCGCGCTTCTGTCGCAGACTCTTGATTTGCAGCACAAGGTGCTCGTTGCTCGCCTCGTACTGCCCTGTCTCGGACTCCATGTGCGCCAGTTTTTCCTTGGAGGCGTTGATCTCGTTGTCCTTGGGCTGAATCTGCGTCTTGAGTTCCTTCCGCTTGTACTCGAGCACAAACTTGAACTTCTCCAGCTCTTGGTTCTTGGTGCGCAGGTCCTGGATGCGCCGATCCTTGTCGGCGATTGTCTCCCCGCGTTCCCGCAGCTCATTCGTCAAGGCCTCGATATCGCGCTTGGCGGACTCGATGTGCGACTCGAGCACCGTCTGCTGCCGCAGCTTCTCCGTAACGTCCGCCATCTTCGCCTCCAGCTCGGCGCGGCTTAAGTTCTCCTTGGAAAGGAGGGTGTTGTTGGCTGCTTGCAGGGCGGCTGCTTCCTCCTCCTGCTCCCGGTAGCGCTTCTCGTAGTACTCCTTTGCCTTGACGATTTCCGTGTCGTTGTCCTCCTCGATCATCCTCGACATCGCCTCCGTTTCGGCGTCATTGCGCTCCTTCTCCGTCGCGATGCGGTGTCGCTCCTCGTCCAGTCCTTGGAACTCCTCCCGTTGCCGTTGCTTGTCTTTGCGGTGCTGCGCTTCGGCCTCCGTCTTCAGCGTCGTCTTCTCGCTGATGTGCTTCGCGTTTTCCTCTGCGATGAGGTGGCGCAGCTGGTCGGCGCGGCTGTTGAGTGACTCCAGTTTGCAGCGGTAGTCATCCTCCGTTTGTTGGTAGGTTTGGGCCGACTTCTGCTCCAGCTCCACCATGAATTCGGTGAAGCGAATCGCCTGCTCACTCTTCGCCGCCTCCAGCGCCGCGATGTGGTCCTTCTGCTTCACCATCTCCCCGCTGTACTCCTCGTCCAGGTGCGCGATTTGCTCCTCGTGCTGACGCTCCTGCTTGAGTTGCTGCTGTGCCATGCGGTGCTTCAAGTCTGTCACCTGCTCCGTCAAGTTACGCAGGAGGCCCATCGTGGCGTCCAAATCGCGGCGGTCGACGAGCAGCTCTGTCGTGTACGCGAGCTCCTTCACCGTGCCGCGGTGCGGCGCCACCACGTCCCAGAAGACCACCATGCCGTCGTCGCCCACCGTGATAAGCATCTCCTCGTTGTAGGACAGCGTCAGCGCGTTCACGTGGCCGATGTGGGTGATGTGCGACTCGATGGTGATGTCACGCGGGGCGGCGACGATGCGCGGACCGCCACCGCCGGCGCTGCCGCCCGCCCCGTCTCCGCCCCCGCCTGCGGTGCCGACGCGCTCGCCCCCCGACCCGATGAGCTTCTCGCCGAGGTAGGTGTTGTACACGCGCACCGTGCCATCGTCGCAGCCGCCAAACAGCAGCTTCAGGTTTTTGCTCACCGACATGCACCGCATCGACGCGTTGTTCAGGCCGTACTCGACGATGTGCTGCATGGTTGCACGATCCAGCTGCCGCAGCTTGCGGTCGCTGCCGGCGGCCCAGACGGTTTGCACGTCGGCCGCCGCGCAGTGGTAGGTGACCGCCTTCACGATGTTGTCGTGCACCTTGTGGTAGTCGCAGAGGCTGAACTCGAAGACGGCGCCGTCCGCGCCGGAGGAGATGAGGCGGGTGTCGTCCGGCGGCACGAAGCTGAGACTGCGCACCTTGCTGTTGTGTCCCCGCAGATGACCCAGCAGCTCGCAGGTGTAGGAGTAGTACACGTGGATAATGGTGGAGTTTGCCACAGCGAAGTACTGCCCACCGTGGCTGAAGCAGCAGGCGACGCAGTTACGGATACTAAGCCGCTTGTATTCGCACAGATCCTTCTCGTATATGTTGTACACCCGCAGGGAGTCGGTGAAGGCGATGATCATGTGCAGCCCGGACGGGTGCATCGCCATGCTTAAAATCTCCGCCCGGAAGTTCTTGCGTAGCTCCACGACGTTCGTGATGGTGTTCCACAGGAAGACGCTGCCGTCGCGGCCGGCGGTGGCCACCAACGGGCGCTGCGCACACGTGTCCACCGCCGCGATGCTGCTCGTGTGGAAGGGCTGTCCGACCGGCTGAAAGACCATGTCCTCCGCCTTCGTAAAGTCCGCGTTGGGAACGTTCAGGGCGTACATCTGCTTCGTGCTCGTGAGGAAGGCCAGCATCTCCTCCGCCGGGGGCGGGGTGAAGGTGAAAGCGCGGATCACCGGCACCTCCGCCCCAATCTTCGACGCCGTGGTTAGGTCTCCCGAGAGCCCTTGGGTGCCGTCGGCGTTGAAGCGGAAGGTGCGCACCTTGCGGTACATCTCCTTGCTGCGCGTCCGTTCAAACAGCGTGATGAGGCCCATGTCACCTCCGCAGGCGAAGCCTTTTGTGTACGAGGCGAGCGCGGTAATCGCAATGCCGTCCGACGGCGAGAGCGGCAGCGGGTGCTGATACTGCTTGTCCTCGAACAAGAGGAGGTCGCCGTTGTCGGTGGAGACGACCAGTCGGTTCGCGTCCTCCATTAACCAGCTGTGGGCGAGGTAATGCACCTCCGCTGCCTCCACACCGCCTGAGGAGGGAAAGAGATGGCCGTCGGCGTACGAGAAGAACTTCACGCAGCCGCGGCCCGACACGCAGATCAGCGCGGGATCGCGTGGGGCAATAGAGCACTGGTTGAGGTGGCGCACGTCCTTGGCCTCCAGGGTGTTCTCCAGGGCAGTGCTGTGGGCCAGCATCTTGTGCTTCTCGACATCCCAGTAGACCAGCTTCCACTCCGGAAAGCCGCCAAGTGCGACCAGGTAACGCCCGTCATGCGAGAAGGACAGCGAGACGTACTCGTGCGAGCCGACGTCGGAAAGGTGCAGAATGGACCGCCGTTTAATGCGGGGGGATGCGGCGGGGTCAAAGAGGTAGATGACAACCGATGGCGACTTGCCCGACTCGGCCACGGCGAGCAGGCGGCGATTCGGCGCGAGGGCCATGGCGGTGACGCCCTCGCAGGCCGACGTGCATGGGATAAGCTCCTGGGAGCCTTGCTGCGTATCGAGCAGCACCACGCTCTCCCCGGCGATCCACACAATGTAGTCCTCGTCTAGGTAGTGGATACCGTCCTTGACATCCTCGCAGACGCCGAACACCATCCGGCGTTCGATCATCTTTGGGTTTTGCGCCATCGCAGTTACAATCGAACGATGCGCTCCGCTGACGAAAGTGGTAGAGGGGGGGGGGGGAAGAAGCCAACAAACACTGAAAAAAAGAACCACGGATTATACGAGACAACCCTTTTTCTTTCGATACGTACGTGCCGTCGCTCGATGGCAGATAAAGGAGGAGAAGGAACAGGGAAGAGAATTGAATGCGTTCATCTGAGAAAGGCTCGATGTCCTTTGCACCTAATGGCTTCGATGCTGCTTTAGAGGTGGCGCGACAACGGCAGTATACCGAAAGGAGGTGAGTCAGATTCCTGTGATGTACGCGCACAGCATTGTCGTAAACGAGACCCAACAGCCACAGCCAAGGCGTTCCGTGACATGAAGAGAAAAAAGAAGAGGCATTGGACTCGGCAGAAATACTTCTTTCCAGAAGAAGATAACGTTGCGTAGCCGCATCTGCGCCGCAGCAGCAAGCGCTGCCTTCTTTCTTAAAGAATGCTTCACAAGTGCAGCAAGTACAAAAAAGTCGGCATGAGAACAGTAAAGGATCTTTTGTCGGACGTATTGAATAGCGCCCCTCACGCCCCCCACCACAAAACATGTGTCTTTGTTCATGGACCAGCTGGTACCTTCCTACAAACAAAAACAAAAACCAATAGATAAAAAGGGCCACAATAAGAGAGTGAGTGTATGTGTGTGTGTGTCGGGCGTTGTCGACTGCTATTCGTTCATCTACGCATTCCTAACGCATATAAAAATAATTCTATGTATCTATGTAACTTCTGTTCTATCAGGCAAGCAAGAAAAGTGCTCTCGAGCACTGACGACCTTGGGGCCCTATTTAATGGAAGAGGAAGCAGAAGGCGCCGCCCTCAGTCCTCGTTTACTTAGATGCCGGCGAAGAGAGAGTCCAGGCTCACGAAAAGGTGGTCGATGCGCTTGTATATGGTCTCGGCGGCGGCGTTCAGCGGGTCCACCGGGTCCGCCACCTCTTTCACGCCAGGGTCCGCCGCCTCAGCGAGGGTGTAAAGTCGTCGATCCACGCCGAGGCACCGCCGCGCCTGGTAGTAATGAGCGTCCTTCACGCGCGTGGAACACCCTGGCGCGTGTGGCAAGTCGAAGAGGGCGCGGTAGTACGTGAACTGCGTTCTCACCGCCCTCACCGCCGCTGCGGTGCCGCCGCATTCGTAGAACTGGCGAATGATGCTGTAGCACGTCTGGGTGAAGCAGTTGGCCACGTAGTCTACCGGTAGCGACTTGCGGCAGCTGGTGCACACGTAGAGGTCGAAGCGGTCCTGCTGTCTCGCGGGGTCCGCAAGCACCGCCATCACACGAGCGTGTGGGTTAATCGGCGTCATGAGCCGGCAGTGGGTGCAGACCACCTGCAGCGGCAGCGCAGTGGGGAAGCACTCCTCCAAGCTGCGATTCTGGAAGAGGGAACTGTGGGAAAAGTCGTTCATTGTGTTGGCCTCCTCCTCCTCCCCCGGCTTGGCGGTGCTGTGGTAAGCGATACCCATCGCCTCACTTAGCTGCGCGTTCGAGAAGCCCTGGATGTGCTCGCACAAGCGCATCACCGGCGGGTAGATCTGCGCGCTGAGGTACCACTCGGCGTCGATGTGAAGCTGGCTGTTTTGCCGCACCTCCTCCACGTGAAACGCCTTGTCACTCAACCTCTCACCGGTGCAGATGACGTAGGGGATCAAGTCGCCGACGCGCACCAGCTCCTTGCGCTGCTTCATGCGCAGCGCCACGGTGGCGTGGGGGAAGCTGTTTCCCCGGTACGCCTCCGGCTCCTTCGTGAGGCTCTTCGAGATGACAAAGTCGTCGAGCAGGTAGCGGCCATCGCGGACCTGCTCGGCAACGCCGCGCATGTAATTCATGACGTAGTCCAAGATGTCCTCGCTGCCCTCGGCGTTCAGCACGCGGCTCAGCACCGAGTCGCTCACCCGCTTCGACAGCGGGCACCAGTCGCGTCGCACCATGTCCAGCCCCTTCACCTCCTTCTTGTAGGCTTTGCCCTCCTCCTGCCAATCCGTCACGGTCAGGGCGGCGTATTTTTTCTTCTTGAGCAGCAGAATAGCGCGGAAAACGCCATCGATGTCGATCTCCAAGCTTTGATAACGCTTGTTGATCTTCGCCTTAAGCTCCAAGCCCAGATCGCGCACGGCTTTGATATCGTTTCTAATGCCCGTCTGGATCATGACGGAGTCGGTATCGCCGTAAATGACGCGCAGCGAGGGGTTCAACTGGGGGATGAGGTCCACCGTACTCTGCAGCGCAAGGCGACCTTGACGCGTCACAAGCTCGGCCAGCGGCTGCGCGTGGAAGCGGGAGTACTCAAAGCCGAGACAGCCATACATGCTGTTCGCTGTGAGCTTGAGCGCTTTCTGCCGAATCTCGAGCAAGGCGAGGTTGTTGGGGTCGCGCTCCGACTTCATCAGACGCTTCACCTCACGGCGGCTGTCAACGAGGCTCTTGATCACTTTCGGCAGAACACATTTGTGCAGGCACGGCGCGGACAGCCCGGCGGAGGCGCAGGTGGAGCAGATCAAGTTCTCCGGGGGCGGGACATCGACTTCGCTGCGGCCCTCGCGATCCACGGTGGTGTAGCAAATGTTGAACTCCTGTATTAGTGACGGGTACAGCGAGTTGAAGTCGAGCAGAAGGATGTAGTCGGAGTACAGGCCGCACTTCGGGTCAAGCACCATGCCGCCTTGGTACTTCGCCTTGCGCTTGCCCTCGTCCTCCTCGTCGTCGTCACGGCCGCGCTTTAAGTCCTGCACGTAGCGATCGGGAGTGATGAACTTCAAATCGTGGAATGTGTGCAGCAACAGGTACTCGATGCGCTCCGAACGGGCACCGAAGAGCGTGCGGCTCCACAAGTTTCCGGCAATGGTGGTGAGTCGCTTCGTGAGGCGGATCATGTCCAGGTGCGACACCACCGCGGTCGACAGGACGGCGCAGTTGCAGACTTGCAGGAGAATGTCGTAGACGTCCTTGGACACGGACAGCATTGCTGGCGTGAGCGTCGACGTGCCCGGCTCAAAGCTGCTGTTGCCTTTCGTGATCCCCTGTAGCTGCATCTGTTCGGCGAGAGAGAGGAGTTTGTAGTTGACCGTCTTGAAGTGCTCCCGGGCAAGCGAGTACGAGTCGACTACGAGGCGGCCAATGCATGTCTCCTTCTCTTGATTGACGTTCGCCGCGCCACCTTGCAGGCGTGGATGTCGTTTCAAGTCGAGCCGCCCAATTGTCGACCACGACCCCACGTTTAGTTCCTGGTAGCGACGCAAGAGGGTGTCGAGGGTGAACCCCAGGAAGTTGTGGCCGATCATCATGTCCGCATCGATCTCGCCAAGCTGCACGGAAAGCCACTCGAGCAGCGCGCGCTCCGTCGGAAAGCGCCGGACGCCCGGCAGCCCCTTTGCGTTGCAGAAGCTCTCCAAGTCGAAAGGCAGAGGCGTGTCTACCGAGCCGGGGCGCAGACCGGTCAGAATTTTTTCTGGGATGTAGCGGAGGTTGTTCTCAATGTTCACGTCCTTGTAGATAGCCACAGACGCAATTAGGATCTCGTTGCACGCACCTTTGCTGTCCAACTGCGCATGCAGCTGAATGCTCGCCAACGTGAACGGTGGCACCGGCAGTTTCGCCTCCTCTACACGGATGTTCTTGGGAGTCTCTACGGTAAACTCTAGTGCGCAGTGCGAGATGCGGTTGGCGGAGGCGGCAAGACCCGCGATGTGCAGGTAACATGGGCCCTTCAACTTGCGCTTTATCAAAAAGAGCTCCAAGAGCGACGACGATGATCCCATGATAACCTGGATGTGACGGAAAGGGCCTTTGGCGCTCAAAGGGGGAAAGCGCCCGGGATAACGCAGCTTTGCCCACACGGCCCTCTCGCGCGGCACGTCCGGCTCCTCGAAAGCATAGTATCGTTCCACGAACTTGATGCGTCGCTGCTCAATGCCTTGATTCCGGCAGATGTCGTTAATCTCCTTCACCACATCCGCGTGCTTAGATCCTTCTTTCGGCAGCAGGAACATGCTCCGATACATGTTTCGCACGCGGACACAACACGATGGGTAAGTAAGATGTCCGTTCTTTTCCACGGACATCTTGCCAAAGAGGAACAGCGAGCCAGGGTCAACAGAGAGCGTGTGCGGCTGCTCACGGGCGTCAAACCAGTAGAACATTCCCTCCGTCATCTCACCAGCTTTTGTGGTCGTGCTGGCAGCAGAAGAAAGATGAGAAGGTTCGCTCTGAGGAGCTAGCTTAGCTTTCAGTTCAATGTCCTGTTTCGGCTTGTCAACGCTACAGTACCCGGTCCCGTCATTGGGCAGTGCTTTCTTAGCGCGTGGAGCTTGCGCGAGCTTCCCGCCAGTAAAGTTGAACGACTCATCCTCTAGTTTCACCACGGTGTTATTCACCTCCGGTTCCAGCTCACGCTTTGGCTCGGCAACGGGCACAGAGACTTCAGTGCCTGCATTGGCAAATCGAGCCAAGAACTCCGCGGCGTTGAGGTGTCCGTTGTCCTCATCGTCACTCCCGTTGTCCAAACCATCACCGCCTTGCAGCAAATGCGTGACATCAAAGTCATCCTCACTCTCAACGCTCTCGTCGATCTCGTAATTCCTCATCAGCCGCTCCATGTTGATGTCGACCGTTGCCTGCTCGAGTGTTTGCTGTTTTGACTTTTGGACTTTTGGAAGCGCTGGAGCTTTTCTGACTTTTTTGACGGCAACTTTTTTCGCAGAAGGGAGCTGGGGAATTTTAAGATCTCCAGATGACGGAAGTTCGGCATCTTCATCCGATGCAAGTACCTCCTCTCTCAGAGACTTCCATCGATCCTCTTGAGACTCGTCGAAGTTTGGCGCAGTTGCATTGTGAGCCTGTCGGCGGCTGGTCGCATCGTTGCTGCTTTTCTCAGACATCCTTGGTTCCGTGAGTAAAAGTCAAACTGCAGTTTCTACGGTATATTTTGCTGAAGGTCCAAAAAAAAGCGTTTTTTTTAAAGTGTGGAGCGAAAGTAGCAGGAGAAAAAAAGATAGCTTCTGAAAAAGCTGTATAGCTCGTGTTCTATGCGTAAAAGTCTATGACATCTGCGTTAAAGCACAAAAAAGAAAAATGGAGATGACATAGAGGAGGTAAAGTATTATATTATGCCGATCTTAGGGGGAGAAATTGTTTCATAAAATGAAAAAAAAGTATCTGTATTACTACAATCGTAAACGCTCGTATCAATACTAATTACATCTTGCGTAGCCACAGGGAAATAACCCGGGAATAGTTCCTCAAAAAGCAATCCGCATCCATGTGCAGAGCAACTGTCCACTTCAATTCTGTCAGTGGTGCGAGTGGCAGAAATTCTTGTTTGCGTAAAGCACTTTACGAGAATGCTTGATCAAGTACTGTTTTGAATTGATAGGCAAGAAAAAAAAAGAGTCGCTATGTACCACATAAGTGCTTGAGCAAAACGAGAAGTTCTGAGCCCCCCAAAAAAGTACCATTTTTTAAAAACCAATAATGATAGCCCATTGAATTCGCGTTCTTTTTGTTGCTGAAACGCACGTACAATAATCGAAGACGCTCTTCTGAATTAGAAAACAACAATAATAATAATAATAATAATAAAGCCCATCATTGAACTCGCTCAAAGGTAATAGCGCTCAACTGTTTGTACTCTCCTTGCACACGGTGCCCAGGCGTTGTGCGTTACGGACAGAAAACGCCAGTTGACGCGCCAGGTTGACCAGAGTGACCATCTCAGATCTGTCCAAGGTAATGGGCTCGTCCTCGCGGCTCATTATGATTTTCATTGCCACCGCAATGCCTTTCGTCTCAAGCTTTCCCCAAATGCGGCACTTCTCGCACGTGACGCAGTCCATCAGATGTGTCACGTTGAGCATGATGGATTTGAATTGCGGAATAAGCTCTCTTCCTTTCTCCGATTCCAAGAAGGCGCTTTCATCAAAAGTGGGGGAGCAGAGGAGGCGCGAGGCAAAGAGGTCCTTGATGCTCTCGCGAAGTTGCAAGTCAGTAGCGGTCGCCTCGCCGTGAAAACCCGTGTTGAAGATACTCAGATCCTTGAGGAAAAACGGTTTCGCCTTGGCCAGAGCGCGGAGAGTGAACTGATAGAGAATGTAAAGATTGCCCACAAAGTCGGGGAAAGGAGCCACACGTTGATTGTACATCTCGCAGTTGGGGTAAAAGGAGATGTTGTCGTTATTGTAGATGCCTGCTTTGTGTTGCGGAGAGGCGAGCTCCGGGTCCTTGTAAAAATTGGTGCTCACGTGCATGTTAATGGACATGTGCAATCCGCTGAGAAGAGTCCGCAGTATGGAAACCTCCTGGCACATGCCATCATCTTCCGGCGAAAGGCAGTTCTCGGCGTAGATAGCTCGCCACACCTGTGCAGCCAACGGCCCCGTATAGCCAGTGTTGCCTTCCGGGTTGGCGACCAAATCGACGTACTCTGCGCCGTCTTCTGTCTTTTGCCACATGCCCCAGTCATCGAGGTTCCCTGGCTTCGATATGGACTCCGCCACGGTGCCGTCAGGTGTGTCGACGGTGCTCATATCCACATCAGAGTGCAACGCTTTCGGAATAGAATTCTCATCGCACTTGCACACGTCGCATTTGTTTTCAGCGCCGGTGCACAGCAGGCTCACGGCCCAATAAGGACAAGGCTTGTTGCTGTTCACCTTGAAGTAACGGAAGAATGGGGACGCAGTAATATGGTTCAGCACTGTTAACAGTGACGTCGTCCCTTCATCGACCTCGGTCGGAGAGGAGTGACAGTAGCCATAGTCCAGCTTTGTTGTGTCGATAACAATTCGCGGATGAGTGATGATAGCAGTAACGGGTTTACGCGGGCCCTCCAACGTAAGGACCAAAAACACTGCCACAAACACGGTAAACAAACACTTCAGCGTTATCTCAATGCCCATTTTATTATGTGCGTGGGTGTGGGTGTGGGTGTGGATGAGTGGATCTTTGTGATTAGATTGTGCTCTACAATCGAAAACAAATAGCTTCTTTTTACAAAACTGCCACTCAACAGAAAAACAGCGTAAAAACGACGAGAGGAAAATGAGGGAGAAGCCAGCATAAAGAGAGCACAACCCTCTGCCAACAGACCAGCAAACAGCTACTGGTGCTGCTTTACATATGAACAGCACACATGAAAACCCGCAACAACATCTAGCACTACTTGCACAGAAACAACACGCGAGACACTCAAGCAGCTACATAGTGCTTTGAACGCTGAGGCGTCAGTTCAGGTACTTGTAATTGAATTCTTTTTATTTTCACAGTTTTTCAAACATACAGTCTCAGGAAAGCTAGAAACATCCCTTGCGTCTCTTGTTCACATCGAGTGCGCATTGATGTGTAAAGCAACACCGGATGGAACTTCCCATGACAGTCGGTGACGATTCTTGATACTCTAAACGAGACCAAAGAGCAACACTTGCCCTATTGAGATGCATGAAACAGAGAACCGACGGCGCAGTAGACGCCACTTCCCTTACTTCTTTCCTGCCGTTGTCACCGTTTTGGGGGCCTCGTACGTAACTACCAAGAACACCGCAATGAATACGGCAAAAAGGCACTTGAGAGCAATTTCGACGTCCATCTTGAGTTATTGACAGCAGATTGGAATTGTGAGGAGATGCAGAGATCTGAGCGATTCAACTAAACGCATGACAAATGAACGAGAGAGAGAGAGAGAGAGAGGGAGAGGGAGGGAGAAGCGTTAATGAGGGAGAGAAGCGAAAGAAGATTAGAGGATAGACTTGGAAGACTGTAACGATGTGTTCTTCATCGAGAAGCTTGTTCGCCTTTTTCCACTGAGGCATCCATGAGCTTCCAGTGTTTTCTTGGCACGGGAAGTCCTTCGAAGACTACTTACAGTGGAACAAAGCTTCATGCCTTCAAGTAGTTCGGCTACTTTCCTGCGAAGCCTGGAAGGGTGGTCTTCACAAAAGGCTTTCTAGCAGTCGTCTTGGTATTCCGATGTAGTAACGCGAAGGAGACTGGAAAACGCGCAGTTGAGGCACGTCGGAAACGCGTTCGGGCGTAAAGATACTGATTCCGAGAGCAGCGTGGCAAAATGGTCGGCTCCAGGTTTGCAATCCTGGAGTTGAACTGGGCAGGGAAGTACATGTTGTGAAGCAGGAAGGGGGAATCGAGGTACTGTAGGAAAAGGAGGGGAGGGGGACAAGGAAGAACAACGAGAGTGTATACAGCAGAAAACACTCTCGCACTGAACCGAGGATTCGGACAGGGCAGAGCGGAGAGAGCAAGGCCAAGCAACCATCGTGCAACCATGTTCTCCAAAATTGGCTGCGTTAGTTCCATTGCCTTGTTGCCAAACATTACGAACGGTGTTTTTCACTTCGCTTCAGAGGCCTTGTTTCTTTCTAACTGCAATCCTGTCGGAAAAGAGGAAAACAACAGCAAGTCATCGGTGTCTGTTTCACGCAGCTGACTTGAGCTAAGAGAAAACGAAGCGGAATAGTTGTATAAAAGAGAAGCGATCTTCTTCTCCGTGGCAAATCTAACACACGGCGGTGAAATAAGCAACTAACTGTTGTGCCTGGAGAAAACCCAGCGCCTCCTCGAGCTTTCGCCTTTCATTGCTATCCATAAGGCTTTCAAGAAATGTTTGCGACAGGAGTGATTACCCTCATCTCTTTCCGTCCGTTTTTCTCTTCTTTTTTTCCCCCCTCAAAATGAACGACAAGTAGAATACAATGCCGTTTAAGAATTATTTTTGCGCTAGTGCACGCCGCACAGTGCTGCGAAGGAAAGGCCGCGCCGACGGGCGGCCAACAGCTGCGCATTTCAACCGATTTGTTCGTCAACCATTCCATGAGCGAGCACTCGCTAATGAGTTGGCAGGTGGAACGAGGCATCGTGTGTACAACGTATTTGATTCCAAAGCGGTCCATAACGATCTTAGAGGCCAACACCGGAGAAATAACGCTGCGCACTTAACTTCTCAAACCGTGTTGCGCCAGGTGAAAGCCGAGAATCTCAGTCGCCGGAAAGTTGCAGCGCCAGGTCGCAAATACCTCCCAATACAATAAAAGCGTTCATCTCCCGATGATTGTAGTTCTGCTAAAAGAAAATTGTATAGCTGTCTGGTGCGAAAAAAAAAAGTGGTTGAACCTGTCTTTTTTGTCGCGCCTTTCAAACAGCCATTCTGAAGGGAGAAGGGGTCGTACTTAGTTGCCTTTTGCGCAAGTCACGAAATACGCTTTCAAACGAAGCGCAGTTGTGTAAGGCGCTCACACTTCAAAAAGGAAACACCCTTTTCCGATCAACATCTGCTAGACAATTGCCTTTCCTTCTGTTTCACACAGTGCTCAACACTTGTGTTTTTCTCCTCAATGCACAAAGCTGTAAGTCAGAGAACGCTCTTGAAGCTCTTGTTTATAGAGGCAGTTGAGTGCATATTAACAAATTCTCGATGCCGCTACTTTTATTCGGTAAATTCAATTTCCAGTATGATGTCTGCTGTTGTTGTTTTCCCCTATTCCAGTACTATCGTGTTTTGCAGCGGTGTCAGTGTCCTTAAATGTTTTTGATTGGCTGCTACTTTTCTCAAACTGAAAGGTAGCATTATGATTCTTCGCAGCTGAACCTAAAATCAAAGAAAAACTTCTCACTCTCTGTTTCCTTCATTTCTCTTCAGCGCTGTTTGAAAATATAAATACATTTAATTGGTTGTGTCTCACGTGAGCCCGTTGCACCATCTTTTGCCTTTTTTTTTCCAGTTCACTAAAATAACAACTACTTGTTCTTTGGCGAATAGTTCGTTTTTCATGTTTGACATGTAAAAACACCATACACTTATACATAAAAGGAGCTTTTCTTTTAGCATTCTACATTGTTATAGAAACCCTTTCATAGAGTTTGCAAACGGGATAGAAAACGAACGCAAAAATGTCTGTTGAAGCAGTCAAGCGACAAATTCTTATCGCGGTCGACGCCCTGAATGTTCCTTTAAACCGCATCCCGAGCCAAAAGGCTGTTGTTGAGGCATGCTCTGCCGCAAAGCTGCTTAGGAATCGTCTACTGCGTGAACACACTCGCGTCATTGAACGAATCGAAGCTCTACGCGAGCGCCAGATGTTTGACGAAGCAAGTGACGAAGAGACAGACTACGAGCGAGACGACGGCAACGCAAACGTGACGGAAACCGGTATCAGCCGCACAGAATTTGTTTTTCTGTGCGAAATGATGGTGGCTGAGAAGCTAGTCATTCCGCTGCTAAAAGCTCATGGAATGAGTTTTAGTGACTCGCTGCTGCCACAGCTACTGAAGTTATTAGCTGTTATGCTCTTGCCAATACCGCGGTACAGCGCAGACGAATTGTTACAAAAAGACCTTCTGCAACGAATTAAGACGAGGTGCGGCACAGACGAATTTTTTGCTCTTTTGGTGCAATGTGTCGCCCCTATTGCTGAAAAACGCACCTCCGGCGAGTTACAACGTGAAGATGTTGTCATTCTGGAAATCATTCTCACAATGATTACGTACCTGCTCGATGGCAATCAAAATGATGCAGAGCGTATCATTGGTGCTTTCTGTCGAAACCACGGAATTGAATTGCTGCTTGTCGTAATTAACCAAAACTATTCCCGCATACAAGAAACTTCGTCTGTAGCCACTGTACAAACCGAGAATAAAACTGCGGAAGCGAACAGAGAAGCAGATTCTGAAGGGATTCGTGAACCCGATACTGCTCCAGCACCGGGCGAAACAGCCTCCCCTGCAATTGACGAAGTTAAATTAGTGAGTGAGGAGGACGAGGTCGATTTGGAAGACGACGATTCTACATCTGAGTCGCAACTACCTGACACTCTCAACCTAGCTCTTGAGCAAGAATTTCAGCAGCGAGTTCACAATTTGCTGGAAAGTGAGGAGCAACTGTGGAAATGGAATTGTCTTGCATTGGCATCTATCGCAAGCGTAATAAAATCCATCCCCTCGGAGGAGCTCGCGCAACTTACATTGCTAGAGCTCTCGAAGGCTTCCACACCAGATCAACTGCTGAATACGCTGCGCAATGGGCACCAGCTTCGCGACTGTAAGAGAAACAGCGAGAAGTGGCGTTTTGTTGCCAGAAGCCGCAACGGCTCCGTTACCTCGAACGGCATCTTGGTGCGCGCGAGCGCCGGAAGTTCAAATGGCGGTCGAGCTATTGGAAGCGTTTCCGCGTTGCTAGGCTCGCGCAGAAAGGATCCGCTCGAGGTGATGAAGGATATGGATCTGCGCAAGCGCGGTCGCTTTATCAAAGGCATGTTCCAAGGCGCAACCCTTCAGTGCAACCTGCCTCTTCCAACCAAAATACAGCTTTCACAGCAGAACAACTCCTTTCTGAGTTTTGGGTTTGAACCGCTGAGTGCCATGACGTTCAGCAAGCTCCAGGAAATAGCCATTAATGTCGAGCGAGCTACAAAAGAACACAGAGAGGTGGTCGCTGGCTACAAGGGCTCTGGCGAAACGCTCGAGGTGAGCTCGCCCATCGACACTGTTCTGTACCAAAAATTGAGGCACGTGCTTAATTACATGAGCATCTGCCGGTGTACGCTTCGCTACGTACGAATTATTATCGAGCAACTAAAGAGCGAACAAATATCGTTTCTCTCCGTTTTTCCGCTGCAGTGGCAGAGCATCTCGTCGGTCATTTCTCTCACCGACCTCGAGCTTGGATTCTCGGTACTGCGATCGTTCCTCGACTGCAAGGATCTCCGCCGCCGTGAAGATGTGACGAATGTTGTGGGGTACTTATCCGAAATTCTGCTAGTCCTGAACCTTTTGCTGCAAGGCGACATTGCGGCTGATCCGACGGTGGAAGTTGCCGCGCACGCCCTCGCCTCCTCTGTGCTGTACAAGGAGGAGAACATCAAAGTCGTCTTTGGTCTACTCACCGAATATTCGAACAGAGTAATTGCCGTCCGAAAAGCGCAACAGTTTACCTTGTTTACTTTCTCTGTTTTTCAATTAATGGAGAAGTGCAGTTACAAAGGTAATCTACTTCTGCCCAAACGTCCCAAAAAAACAAAGGATGAGGGCAGCGTCCCTGTCGGCGAGGCAACAGAGATGGACGGCGTAGAACACCAAGACGACAACGAAAGCGTTGACTCCGCCACATTGGAGGAGATGCAAGAGGAAATGCTACAAGACATGGCCGATATGATTAACGACGACGACGTCGACGATTACCGGAAACAGCGACCTGTTAAAAAAGAAGAGGGTGAGGAAGAGAACAAACGCACCGATGTGGCATCTTCAGCGGCTCCCGATATTGTCTGTGAAGAAAGTGGAAATGAACTTCCAGAGCCTGTTTTTGAGCCCGTGGAGGACGCAGCTGCTGCGGAGGAATATGAGGTTGGTGGGTCGGAAAGAGCGCTCTCAGAAGGGCGCCCTCCGTCAATTGCATCAAGCAGTCGCACAGCTTTGTCGACGATCAGCTCCGAGCGAGAGGTTTCCGTGAGTGGGTATTTCCACCGCCTTGCGACACCAAAAAATATCAGTCTTATCTATTCAGCCCTGCGGCACTGGCGCGTAAATGACGCGGACGTCAACCTTGCGCTCACCTTCCTCATGGACGGTCTTGTGCACAACAGCTGCGAAACGGTCTTCTTCAACGTTGCTTTTCTCCTGCTCATGCGTGAAGTGCTTGTTCACGGAGAAAAAACACACGGCCCTCTTTACGTCATTTGCGACAAGATCGTATACGACTTTTTCAATCCTTCGTATGCGAAGATGCAAGACGCTCGCGCTGGGGCAACCCTTCCCGATGAGGTGGCAAATGGAATGCTGAGCGGCGCGCAATCCTACCTGGGATTCGAGGTATCTCTCCGGTGCTCACGAGCTCTTTTCAACTTCGCCGCCACAGACTACGCGTATATGGAAGAGAAAGGCATGCAGCACCTGATGGACCACACTGTTATTCCCCTTCCTGGTGAGACAAGCGATAGTGGCGCCCTTCGTGGCACAATGGAGACGAACGCGGCTCTTTTTGCAGCAGTGCCGAGCGCAGCAGACTCTACTTTCAAGCCCTCCTCCCGCCGCAAGCCCCGGAAGACCACGCGGGCTGAGGTTGACAGCGAGGAGGAAGCGGTGAACAGTGCGCCAGATTCAGAGGAAGTGGCGGAAGTGGAGAACACCGCCACGGATACTTCACCAGCCGGTGACGACGCTAACAGGCGCAAAAAGAGAAAAGACAAGGCACGAAAGAGTCATCGGCACCACCATCGTGAGAAAAAGAAGAGGCGACATGGGAGCAACGAGGCTGCTGTTGCAGAAAGCACCAGCGACGCAATGAACTGTCTCGGCGCTTCATTGAGATCTGCTGAAGAAAACGAAGACGAGACGGCGGCCGCGGTGTCGCTTCATGGGTCCATGGAGGAAACACTTGTCATCGGGGAGACTCAGTAACGCGACAACGGCGTCTATTCGCTTCTTCATCCTTTTTTTTTTTACAAACTCAACTAGCAAGCAGTTTTTGCTGTTGTTTTTGTCACAATTACCGAATCTGCCACTGCTTTCATTAACGCACGACAATAACGTGAAACAATGAGTAGAAACTTCTTTATCGGGAAATATAGAGCCTTTTTTTTTGAGTAAGTTCGCTTCGTTTAAGGTGAACGTCGACAGAAAACCCAATAATAAAAGCAAGTGTAGCGCGCACGCCTCCAACAACTTCAAGTTGTGTCTCAACCTCTGTACAACACTTTTAAGCACATGACTTGTGTGCTTTCCTATTTTGCTCAAATAGTGGTCATGTTCTCCATGACAACTGTGAGTGTGTAAAGAATGAAACAAGAATTTCACAATGCCCCGCTTTCTTCGCGCAGCGTTCTCCCTTCGCCGCCTCAACTCTTCTGGCTCTCTGGATACTCTCCTCCGTCGGCGAAGTCTTTACCACTTCTCCTGATCTTTGGCACGGGCGTGACATTAACAGAGGTGCACTGCTATCGTTGCTGTCCCTCCATCGGTCTATTGCGTCTCCTTACTTTGCTCTTTTTCCGACCGTGCCCGAGTCACAGTTTGTGGAAACGAAAAAAAAATAATAATAATTCCACCAGCAGATCAAATGTCCCAAGTACCGAAGTCGCAGGAGGCGCAGTCGAAGGAGGATCTGGACCTCCGCGTGCGTCAGGGCCTTCAGAAGCGCAAGAAGTGCGCCTTGTGCACTCAAACCTTCTACGTGAACGAGCTTCCTGGTGCGATCACGCACAAGTCCATCTTAGAACTCCGTCAGAAGTGGGGCATGGATGTGCGCCGAGGGGACCACATGCCGCCGCCGTCGCAGCTGTACAAGCGGGAGGAAATCTGCATCTTTTGCATGCAATTCTTCGACACCACAGGTTCCATGCAAACTCAACAGAAGTTGCTAGCGTCGACCCGTGACGGCATCTCGCCCTCGCTAACGCTGCGGTAGTAATAAAGCTGCGCAGAGCCCTGACTAGCAACGGCAGGATCCTTAGTGCGGCAAGCAAAACTGTGCTACTTGATGTGCTTCTTTCCTTCTCTTGGTGGCTGCCTAAAATCGCATGTTTTGTTTTCCATCAATTGACGCCGGAAAACATCGTGGGTTTTGCTTGGTTCCTGTGCTTCCACTTTTGCGGCGACTATGTATATGTAGCTGGGCCTTTTTCTTCTTGATGCTCGATTTCTGCGATGTAAGGTATGTTCGTTGAAGCAAAAAAAAAAGGTTTAAAAAAATAATACGCGCGCTCAATGTTGCACAGCTCTCTCCCCCGCTTCGCGTAGTTATTGCGCTTTCGCAAAACCTTCGTTGCACACAAGATGTGAGCAGACATCTTCATAAACCCGTTCTACTGGTTGTGGCACGAACATTGCTGGTTTTTTCTCCCCCTTTTTTTGGCAACTGACGAGAAAAGAATTCATTGTTTGCGCGGTCGCTGGAAGCCTGTTTGATTGGAAAACCAACAGTGCGGCGGGCATGATTTATTTGCGAAGTAACCAAACGAAGCCTCAAGTGAATAGTACTATCTCTTCATTCTTGTCTTCATTGTTGTCGTCTCACTCGTTACTTCTACTGAAATGCTCGTTCGCTCTTCAAAGAGGAAGAGGAAAACCAGATGTTCGGCGTTAAACAAAACGTTCTGTTGATCTTTCAAACAAGAAGTCGTAAAACGACAGGGAAAGGGAAATTCACACGCTGAGTACCCCTCCTTGCTATATACACACAGATATTTTCATTTTCATTTTCTTTTGTTTAGTTTGGCTTCTTTGAAAAAAATGTCTGTGCCTGTTTCTTCTTCTCTCATGGTGGAGCGCGAAGAGGCCTACCCTAGTGAGCGAGGCCCGCGCCAGGACCCTCCGCCGCCGCCGCCACGCGCGGCGTGGATGTGGAAGCCGCGCTCGACGCTCGTCGACAGCGACGGCAACGCGAAGCGCGCCACTTCTCTCATGCAGCTGCGCCGCATCGGTGCGAAGCAGTGGAACCGGCGGTTTGTCTTCCTCGACCACCACCTGTTCTGCTACGGCAAGGACAAAGGGAGCAAGGACAAGGAGATCCCTTTTGAGCTCATCGTGGCGGTGCGGCGGGAGACGGCCGACAAGCTGCGGCGAGAGCATGCACCGAAGGAGTTCGCCGACTTTGGGTGGAACCTCGCGGTGAAGGGACGGACGCTGCTCTTCTGTGCCGAATCGGAGGAACGCGCGGAGCAGTGGGTCAACTACCTCGCGGCCCTGCTGCGTGCCATGAAAGGCAACCCTACCGGTCCTCTTTCTGGCGTACCACCCTCTTCTATCGCTACCCCTGCTCTTGCTCCTACTGCGTTGTCGGATGCCTCGCCGGAGATACTGACGCCAGAGCGCGGCACCACTTTGGCGGAGCTGGGTGCGCAGTACGACAACGCGCACCCAAACGATGGCACACACGACACGTTGACCACCGTCACCTCGCCAGTGCAGTTGCTGTCGGATGAGGTCCGCATCCTGACACCTGGTGAGTCTTCACGGCAACAACAGACATCGCTGAATGCCAACCCACAAGCTCAGCCATCTACTTTGGCGCTTGTGCCGACGGGGGAAGTAGCTGAGCCTCAGAAGGCCGACGAACAAGGCCAAGTCTCTGAAGCTGCACTGGACGTCCGATCAGAGCAAGGCGACAACCGCCGTCGCGCGGGTGCAGTGTTGATGGAGCGCACAACGACACTGGGCGGCCGTGAGAATGCGAAAACGGGTGACAACGCCGGAGAAGATGCGAAGGAAGAGGGAGATGCCGGAGGGAACGAAGCGAACAGCGACCTTCCCAGCGATGCATCTTTGCTCGACGTCTCATCGGACGACACCGAAGGTGAAGACAACGGAGATGATGATCGTGAGGAGGGTGGTGGTGGTGATGACGACGGCGACGGTGAGGTGCACCCACGCACGCGGGTCACGGGTCGCAGTATTTCAACGTCTGCCTTCATTGAAGGTGAGCCGCTGCCGGAGCAAAGCGCGACGGAGCGCCAACCACCACGCGAGATGCGTTACGCGCGATTCCTCCTCCCGTTGGCAGCGGATCCGCACTCCCACATCGCGTACCGTATTCCAGCGCTAGAGGCGTATTTCAAGTCAGGGGACGACGTCAGCAGCGTGACGTTCTCTCGTACCATGGAGAAGGTGGGCAAGCGCGACAACGCCCAGACACGGGAGGTGGTGCTGACGCCCCGACACTTGTATCTCTTCAGCAAGGGCCGGCTGGCGAATGGCCAGAAGGTGCGCTGCATCGATACACACGACATCACCGGTGTGGTGGAGAGCACCACCGACAAGACACTCATCGCTGTTTTAATTCCTGCCTCTCACGATGTGCTTCTCAGGGTGGTCGCGCAGAACTCCTGTGTGCCGGGGACGCCCGTGGAGGTGAAGCAGCAGCTCATTGCGCACCTCTACAAGGCCCACTACGACGCCCACACCGACCACCGCTTTCTCTTCTGGGAGTCCGCCACCGTAGCGAAAAGAATTCGTCGCACAGAGGAAGCGAATTTCCCGCCGCTCGTCGTCCGCGCCGGGGACCAGATGCGTGTGGGGGAGAAGCCGACCTTGCTTGAGACCTTCGCCAAGAACGCCGACGAGGCGGTATACTGGTCCTCCATGGTGCGACAGGTGCTGGCGGACCGCACGCCGCGGCTTTGCGCGTTGGTCGTCACCGAGAGCTCCATTTACTCCCTCTCCGACACCCTGCAGGAGGTGGTGCGCCGCGCGTTCATGCGGGACCTCCTCCACGTAGAGTACGACCGAGACGCGCAGTCCATCCTACTGCAGTGTCGAGGCGTGGACATGCTCTTTAACATGCAGTCCAGCGCAGAGTTTGACGGCTTTCTTCGGGTGTTGCCCGCCGCCATGGCAGACGGCTTCGGACGCACGCCGCGCCTCACCCCGTCCAAGCAGCTCTACTCCCACGCGAAACTCTTCGGCCTCTCCACGCTGAAAAGCGCGGGGTCTGTCGGGGCCACACGCTCCGCCGCGCGACGCCGCCGTGGGTTTCCCTGGACCAAAGGGATGAAAGGAGGCGGCGGCGCCAGACTCCTCTCTTCCTTTGCAGCAGCAGCAGCAGCAGCCGACGAGGAGGGTGAGACCGACGAGGGCGTGGCAGCAGCGGCAGCCTTCCGCCACAGCATCCAAGGCGATTACGGCAACTCGCAGGCCATCCGCAGGTTCTGCGCACAGTTTCGCTTTGTGGAGGAGGTCTTACTGGACTACGACGACGCCGTGGCGCTGTGGCGACAATACGAGGCCTCCGCCGGGCTGCCGTGGTGGGACACGCTGCGGCTACGGTCCACCTTCACGACACGCCTGCGCGTCGGCGAGATATGCCTCACCGCTGCCTGCCGTCTGCTGGAGGCGAAGGAGTGCGCGACGCTGGCGAAGTCGTCCGCGCTGGAGCTGCACGAGAGCGTGGTGAAAGGGATGGGCACCCCGCGGGCCATCTGCGTCACTTCCGAGGGATTCTTGTTTCTGAGCAACGGCGTCGCCTCCGCCGCCACTGCTCCTACTGCGGAAGGGCCTGGATCGGGAAGTGCTGACACGACCTCGACAGCCGTGCGGAGCAGAATGAAGCGTCGGCTGAGCGGTGCGGTGAGTCACACCAGCAGCAGCGGCGCTGAGGCTGGCAAAGACGATGGTTTAATCTTGGGTCTTGTCGGGTGGTCCTCCATCGCGGCGGTGGTGCGATGCCACAGCAAGGAAGGCTCCTCTGTGGCGCTGCTCACCAACCGCACGCACCCTGTCGACTACCTCTTTCACTTGGCGAGTGCGCAGACGATGTTGGATGTGATGGCGGCCGCGATGGGGTGCTACGCGCAGTACCGACACGGCGGCTCCGATCACACGCACCTCCTGCCCCTCTACGCCGCCCCGCGCGTGCAGAACCTCGCCGTGGCGCTGAAGAAGAGCATCTTTGACCCCTTCCCCACCGTGGCCCTGCGCTACACCCCGTACAGCTTCCCAAGCGATCGGCTGCGGATGGCTGTCGTACCCGACGTGGCCGACGCCTGCCGCCGCTTCGGCGACAACACGATATACTTCTCCGGGGTGGCGTGGCGGGTGCGGTCGGCGACGCTGCGCAAGTACGGCGGCCACCTCGCCGAGGACCCTGGCGCGGCAATGCGACGGCAGAACAATCACCTCTACAAGTCCTACATCTTTGTGCTCACGAACGTCGCCATCTACCACTGCACAAAGGGCGGCTTTGAGGTGGTGCGGCGCACGCTGCTGACGGACATCAAAGGCATCACCGTCGGCCAGCGCGACCCCGACACCGTGCTGCTCACGGTGCCGTCGGAGTACGACATGTACTTCCGCGTTGCGGGCCGCGGGCCGGAGGTGGTGGCGCGGCTGCAGGAGGCTTACCTGGAGTGGACCAACTACGGCCACTACCTCCCGCACGAACGTCAGGGCAGCCACGCCCTGGAGGAGTACAGCCTTCCCGTGCGGCAGGCCCCGTGCGTCGTGGAGCTCGGGGCGCTGACCAAGCCGGCGTACTTCAACGACCTGCAGAACAGCCGCCCCGCAGCGGAGTGCCGCAACCAGACCCTGCAATGGCATCTGCGGTGTTTGCGGCGCGCCATCGCCAGCTTCGAGCGTGCACAGGCCGCTGCCCGCAAGGAGCACCGTTCAGCACCCGCGGCGGCGGCGGGCGCACCGCCGTGGTGGACGTGGCGTCGCATGCGTGCTGCCCTGGAGGAGCGGCAGTCCTTCTTGTACTTCGTGCACCGCCGCTGCTTCCGCTTCGGGCTGACCGGCGAGGACTTCAATGAGATGCAGCGGGCGCAGAGACTGCTGCGCAGCTACCGGGAGATGGAGAGCAGCGCCATGGACCTCGTCGCGGCGATGTCCGGCAGCGATCCTGAAGCTTTCCGTGCTGCGCTGCAACGCGCGTCTGCCGTGCCCGACCTGCGGCTTCTCGTCGAGGAGGAGACGCGGGTGTACGAGGGCCACCTTGCCCGCCGTGCGTGTCTCACCGCCGTCTTCGCCGCGGTGCAGCGCTACCGCTATCAACCCAATGGTCGCAGCACGTCCCTCGTGGCGCTCGAGGCAGCAGTGCTGGACCTTCTTGACGAGGCCCGTCGCGTGCGCTTTGACGCCTCCTTTTTGCGCTACTTGGTGCGCGTGGTGCGGGTGTTGGTGCAGCGCACGCAGCTCCAGCGCCTGGTATGCGACCCAGCGAACCGGCAGCGTCTTTCGATAATGCGGGACGGCGGTTGGGTGCTCGTGCAGCAGGCAGCAGGTGAGGTCGGCATGACGTGGCGGCCACCCGTCAACACTGCCGCGGCGCCTTCACCGTCCGCGCGGCTGCAGCTCAACGTTCGCGTCGCGCAGCTGGCACTGAAGCGCTCCATCATGACCGACGACCCGATTCTCATCCGCGGAGCGGTGGCGCTTGCCGTTTCTGTGCTAGAGGCATGTGCGAAGGCTGGCACACCGCCAGATGCGAAGGAGGGCGACGCCGCGACGGCGACGACGCTACGCAGGACATTAGCCGCAGTGCAAGATGCCTACACGCAGATCAACGAGGAGGAGCGACAGCATCTTGCGCGTGCCGTGGCGGCGCTCATAGCAGCTCGTCAGACCCACCAGCGGCAGCAGACGTGGACGCCGCGTGTGGTGTCCGACATGCTCACCACGTGCATGGAGCTGGAAGAGCAGGTCGCCGCTCAACCCTTTCCCCTTTTGCACAAGTGCACACAGTCCCTTCTCGCGATGGAACACGCCATGCTGACGGAGCAGCAGCACCGCTTGCAGCAGCGTCAAGCGCTCGAGAACAGGGAGTTGGACGCACAGCAGCAGCACGAGCGCGAGCTGCAAAGGCGGCAGCTGGCGATGCAGCGCGCGGGCGCCCGCCAACAGCGGCGCGAGGCCACTGCACAGGAGCGGCGGCAGCGTAAGGCGTTGGCACAGTGGAGCAGCCAGGTCGATCAACTCGCGTCCCAGCTGACCGCAGTACTCGATGATGCCGAGGAAGTTGCGGACGAGAGTATTCGACTCGGTGTGAAGCACTGCGTGCATCTCCAACGGTTGATCGTGGAAGCTGGCGCCCGCTACGGGCTGTCTGCGCCAACTTCTGCCGCCAGCGCCCAGCGCACGGCGCCACTTCGCTTTTCCCCTCTGCACCAGAGTTCTACAAGTCCCGGCCCGATGGTAAGGGCTGGCGACAAAGCTTTGGCAGAGCTGCTGGCGAAGCTCCAGTCTGTCGCGGCTCGGGCGCAGCACCTCCTCGACAACCGAGCGAGGGGCGGGGCAGACCCGTATGGAATGTACAACACAAGTAGATCGAACACCGCCGTTCACCCTTCGCCCACTGGCGCGTTTGACGGTGATGCAGAGGCGGGCGCAGGCGGGGTGGCGCCGGCACTTTCAGCCGAAGTGGAGCAGCTCATCGCGGCGCTCGACACGAACGGCGTGGTGGCGTACATTCATCAGCACCAAGACCACACCTCCACGCCGGACGTGCTCGAGCAGATTCGCATTCAGTGGCAACGTGCACGCCGGCATCAGCGGTGGGTCGAGGCGCTGCACCGCCGTCTGCATGCAGCCGCTGTGCTGCACAGCCGCGAACTGCTCGAGGCGGCGCTACAGGAGTCGGCGGCTGCGGCGTACACAGATGCCGCGGTGGAGACGGCGTGTCGTGCCGTGGCAGCGATGACAAATCCACCATCGCAGCGGCAACACCGAGACAAAAGGCGGAGTACTTCCAACCCTGATGCCATCGCATCGCCCACCACTTCTTCTCCCCTTTCCCCCTCCTCCTCCCCTGCGCTCGACTTCGTTGCTCCATGGCGACGTCGTCGACCTCTGCCACCGACAGAAGGAGCGAGGGATGCGAAAACAGAGCTGGATGCGGCCACCGCGTCTTCTGCGCTACGCCCCACCCAGGAAGAGAAGCCCATCACGAAGGTTGATGTTGTGGACGGCCTTCACGAAGATCGACGTCCCATTCTGAATGCGGTAGGAAGCACCAGTGAAGCAGCGCAATGCGTTCCTCTTGTAAATCAAAAACTGGACGAGGTGACGCAGGCGATGGAGGGCGTGGCACGCGCCGCAGAGACGGCCCCGGATGCCCTGCCAAACGCAAAGGCCGTGTTGCAGCAGCTCTACGCGGCAACCGTCGCGTTGGTGGACAGAGCCGCCTCGGCTACAAGCGACCCACTCCCCGTCACCCCGTCTTCCACGTCCGAAGTCGCAGGCTCGACCGCCGCCGCCGCTGCAATCTGCGTCACAGCGGACAACCCTTTCTGTGCATCCTTCCTGCGGGCGTGGCGGGCGGTCCTTCAGCACCAGGCGCGGCCCAGCGGCGTTGTCATCAAAGCTCCTCGCACTGTGTGGGACGTGGTGCGCGGCATCGGTGAGACGAACACCGACGGCGACTACGCCGCGCCGTACGTGGCACGCCTGTCCAGCGACTTCCAACGTCTCTACCGCAGCACTGAGGACAGCGACGCGGCGCGGCATCGCACCGATGCGGTGCTGCTGGCCCTCATCTTCTTCTCGCACCGCATGGCGTGTGTCTGGGAGGGATTGGAGCAGCTGGGAGAGAAGGACCGTCGTGCTTTGTTGCTGCCGGACTCGCTGATGGCGCAGCCGGCGGTGGTGCGGGCGCTGCTCGCCGCGGCACGTGTGTGCGATGCGGTGCAGTGGCAGTTCTCAAGCGTTCAGGCGCTGGCCACGGAGTGTTTGTTTCCACGCAACGGCGCGGTGGAGGTGCCAGTGCCGCGGCGCTTCTTGGAGAGCGTCGCCTCTGTCGCGGACGGTGGTGCTGTGCAGTCGAATCGTGCACAACACGCAGGGTCGATGAAGGCGACCCTCCTGCGGACCGTCGCGCCCCCGCCTGAAATTGGCCCAGCGCAGCCTCCACCTTCCGTGTCGACTTCCCAAGCCAGAGTACGACCTCGCAACGCTGCAGTGTCTTCTTCAGCGTTAGAGACGCCAGCTGTCGAAGTAGAAGGCACGTCGGTGGGTATCATGCGGGAGGCCTACTGTGGCCATGCTTTGAGTGGCCTGAAGGAGGCTGTACGCGACATCGCCTCGTACTTTACGCGGCAGCTGCGCACCCATGGCCCTGCGCCTGGTGCGTCACAAACCACCGCCCTCTACTTCGACGAGCACCGTTATCCTGAAGTCGGTACACTGGTAGAGACGTCGGTGCTGCCACCACTTGCGGCACTCCTCACCTGCGGTCTGGTGCGACGCTACCAACTCGTCCGCACCCGCACCTTGTGGGACGTGCTGACGGAGCTGAGGGAGACGCTGACGGCCAGCGGACGTACCCTCGCAGCGGCGGAGGTGCTGTCGATTATGCTGGTGGTGGAGGCGTTGACAGGGACGCCGGAGGTGCATGGCCGCTCCAACGCCAAACTGCGCGCCCTCTCCGATGAGGAGTTGGACTCACTACGCGTGCGCGTGTTTCTGCGTGAGTGTTTGAACCGAAGGCAGCTGTACCCGCTCGTCTCTGCGTTGTTTCCTCCTTTGAGCGGAAACGAAGCGTGGGTGGCTGAGGGCTCTGGTGTGTTGTGGACCCTCTACAACCCGGCGCTGTGCTTGCTGTACCCACCCGATGCCGAGTCCTCAATGCAGCTGCGACCTTTGCTAGAGAAACTCTCTGCCCTGCCTTTTGTGCTGATACCTGACCGCGAGCTAAGGTGATTGGCATCGCTTCACGCTCTATTCCATTCATCGGTCGGTTCGGGAGTTCATTAGCTGTCGCGTTGCAATCGTTTTACTTGCCCTTGGCTTGCAACGCTGTCCCTGCTTTCAATATAAGTCGCATACGGTTTCGCCTCGGTCTCGAGGAAACTGTGGAAGTCGTGAAACAAGAAACTTATTTTCCTATACGGCGTCTCCCTCCTTGCTGTCCACGCTCTAACGGTTGTATCTTTTCTGTCGGGCTCCGCTGCGTCAACGACCGCCACTGCCTTGAGTTTTTTGAGGGTGCGCGCTTCCCTGTTGCCCTCCTGCAGAGGTGTGCAGTGGCCACTATGCTATTGGCATCCTTTCTGATTCCTCCCCCCCCCTACCTCTCGTCCGCCTCGCTTGCCACCTACGTACGATGCATTTCCTCGTTGGTGTTCCGCAACCCTTTTTATCGTTCTCTCCATCGCGTCCCAACGACGCAGCTTGTTGCGCCACCGCGCGCTCCCACTTCAGCATTTTTTTTTTGATTTTTTCAGGCCGTGAAAACACAAGACTGACGGAGAAGAAATGCTGCGCCACACTGCCCGCGCGCTCAGCAAGCGCACCCCTGGCTACGTTTTCTGGCGTCAGAGCTCCCTGACGGAGCTGCAGCACTCGAAGCGCAACTACCTCCTTTCGGAACGTCCGGTCCCGCTGGCGCACATTGCCCGCCGCATGGCACGTGTGAAGGCGCGCTACGAGGACACCCGCGACTTCCACGAGCGCAACCTCCTCCGCGGCGAATACAAGTATTTTACCGGTAAGCTATGCGACCTGCGCGCTGCCCCTTCAGGCGACATGATCGCGGTGCTGCAGTGCGCTGCCTTGTTTGGTTTCTGGGATGCCGCGCAGGTGGACCGTATTCTGGCGGAACTGTTCCTGCTGCTGGAGTCGCTAGACGCGATGGAGCTGGTGGCTCTCTTCACCTGCATGCCGCTCCTGCGCCGGCAGGAGAGTGAGTTATACCGCCGCGTGGCTGCTGGACTCGCCTTGGTCGTGATGGACCTGACGACGCACGAGTGCCTGCAGGTGTGTCGCGCCTGCACCGCCGAGACGCCCGTTGAGCTGGTAGAGAAGGTGCTGGAGGAGCTGAGCGACCACCTCGACGAACTCACGCCTGCGCAGTGCGTCGAGGTGTTGGACACGTGGAGCGTGGCACCGCAGCAGGTGCGTCTGCGCACGAGGGATCGCCTGTCGGCTCTTCGCCAACGTGCGCTGGATCGTGTGGAGGAGCTGAGCTGCATGGATGTTGCCGTCCTCTACACGACACTACATGCGATGGAGGGCGAGGGTGAACTCGCCGAGTCGCTTCAGCGGCGTCTTGTGCAGGCCTTCACGCGCGACCTGACGCAGACGTGTCCGCGCTCCACCGCTCTCCTCTTCACCGCGGTGCGCCGCTCGCATGCGCTTTCGCTGGAGGTGACGCAGTGGATGGCGGGTCGGGTGCTGTTTTTGGCCACCGACTTCACACCGGCGGAGCTGCTCGCTGTCTTTCAGCTGTACGTCGAGCACCTCGTCGCGTTGTGTGCGCTCGCCGCGGACCTGCGCGCTGAAATGGCTGCTGCGGCCCAGCTGGAGACACCGAACTCTGCGCGCCCCTCTCTTGCGGACGGCGGCAGAGCTGCTATGGCCGCGTCGCATATAGCCCCGTCGGCTGCCTCTTTTCGCACTCATTCCGCTCCTGCCACTAGGACCACACGCCAGCACATCTTGGAACGTGAAGCTGCCGCGCAAAACCTCGCTACCTTGAAGCACGTCTGCGAGGGCTTGACAGCGCAGTTGGCCACAACGCTGGAGAGCGCGTCGGCTTACGTGTCCGTCGCTTCGCAGATGGAAATCGTCGAGCTCTACGCGAGTGCGGTGGAGCAACTGGAGCTGGGTGCGACGTGCAGCGTGTCAGCGGGCGGTGCTGGCAAGTACGGTGCGCCGAGCTCGTCGTCGTCCGAGGCGGTGGGGCAACTGCTTCGCCTCCTCCCCCAGTCTCGACGGGTGCTGCAGCTCGTCTCCAGCAAACTAATTGCCAACATGAAAAGCGCCTCTCTGGCGCTGCTCATCCAGCTGCTGGAGCAGGCAAACAGCCTCGGCAGCGCCGCGCTGCAGGACGCCGTGGTGGCGGCTGCCGTGCAGGAACTGATTACTCGTGACATTACCGGGCTGACGACGGAGGCGGCGCGCGCGCTGGAGCGAAAGCTGAGGTCGCTGACGCACCTGCGTGCGGAGCATCAGCGACGTCTGTCCACCGCTTTTATTCCCAAAGTACGCCGATACATTTGAAGTTTTTGTTTTCTTTTTGGGGGAGGCCTGGTAAGGGGGTGGGGGTTGTATGAAAGCGGCACGCAGCGCGACAGCCGTGGGCCCCCCACCACCACCCCTATCTTTTTGTTTTCGTCATTGTCGGAGAAACCGCAGGCGATTCGCAGAACACAGGCTGTGACCTGCCTGGCAATTCATCACATACACTGGGTATTTAGGCTATAATGAATATCAGCATGCATACACAAAGATAGCCGCTTTTGAATGGGAGCGATGCTTTCATAAAACCATACATAGCACATTAGCAGCTGTTTTGGAAGATGGGGAGACCAGTGAAGGCGCCAAGGCTCATGGACGTGCCGTTGACTTCCTACCCCGCGTCAGTACAAGCAGTTCCTTCTCACTGTGACGTTGTCTGCTTGAGCTGGCGAAAGAGGCGATCTTCTTTTTTTCTTTCCATTTCCTTCAGTTGCCCTTTGGCAGCGTGCCCAACGTTTCGTTGTTGTTGTTGTCGCATCTGTTCTACGTCCGCTTTTCTTACTGACTCCGCCGCCTCCCTTTGATGCGCTATTCCGCCGTCCTTTCGTGTTTGCTGCGGCAGCACTCACTCACCCACGCACACACCGACTGACTGAGCGAGAGTGCGAGAGACGGACGTCTCTTCAGTACTCTGCATTGCGCCAAGAAAGGAAAGAGGAGGGCGTCTGTGCGTTCTGATACAAGCAGAGCAACCAAGGACCTGACTATCAATTCTATTATTTATTTATTCTTCGTTCTTCATTGGTGACCGCTACAGCCGTGTTTGTGTGTTTGCTTCCTTGCCGCCATGTCGCTGCAACGAAGCCGTCTGCTGCGCTCTGCGTATGATGAGCTGGTGGTGGTGGGTAGCCGGTGGACGCAGATGCTGGCCAACTCGCCGGAGGTCGCCGAGGCGGGGCCGCCGTACGTCCAGGCGCACCTCGCACTGCCCAAGGTGACGCTCATTCCCACCCTGCACGTGGCGAGTATGAAGTTCTACGACCGTGTGCTCGAGTACATTGACCAGGCCGTGCGGCGCAACAAGGAAACGGTGGTGCTCCTGGAGGGTATCTGCGACAGCAATGCAGCGGAGAAGCAGCAGATGCAGGAGTACATCGATATTATGCAGAATCAGAGCTTGCAGCAGACGATGATCGCCAAGGCGGATGACAACACCCTCTACTCCCCGGAGGTGATGCGGGAGATCTGCCAGGAGCTTGGCGTGCGCTACGACCTGCTGCAGTCTCTTGAGCCCACCGTGCGCCTGCAGGAGTGCTACTTGAAGCCGAAGCTCGCGGCGACCTGCGGACTGAATTTGCGCAACAACGCCGACCTCGACATGCACGAGGTGCAGAAACTACTCGAGGAGGAGACGGCGCGGCTGCATTCGCGCGGCGAGAACTTGCCGTCCAGCGTGGCGGTTAGCCAGCTCGGCTCCTTCCCGATCATCCGCAAGCACCGAGAGCTCAAGGTGGCCACCGTGGCGCGGGCGTACTGCGAGGGCTGGTTTGAGAAGGAAATCGACGCAGAGGTGATCATCCCCTGGGGATACTTCCACTCGGAGGCGATCATACATTACATTCTGGAGGGCAACAAGCTGGTGGGCGGCAGCGTGCAGAAGGACGGAGAGGGCGGCGGCGCCGCGGGGTCGAGTGGCGCGGCGGGTGGGGAGCGCGGGGATAGCGCGGGTAGCGGAGCCGCCGCCGTCGCCTCGCCGGCGCGAAAAGCTCCGCGGCTCGTCTTTGTCGAGGCCGATGAGCTCATTGCGAAGGTGCCGTTTAATGTGCCGAAGGAGCTGATTGAACCCGTGCAGGATGCACCGCGTGCGAAACCACAAGGGTGAGACCTTGCAGATCTCCTTGCCTCCTTTGCGGGTATTGGCGCACCGCGGATGCACGAGGGCTGTGGATTTGCGTGTTTGGATTCCGCAACAATGGAATGGTGCGAATCGTACATACTCGACTAGCAAGCAATACAAACAGATATATATTGTTCTCTGGCCACCTATAGTGGACGTTGTTGAAATGAAAGTCGTGATGGTTGCTGTGCTGGTTGCATGGAGCATGCGATGCTTTGACTCGCGCCCACGGGACACGATTCGTCGAACGCTGCTCTCCACCTTTATTGCCGTTGCTCGGTGTGTTCTTTCAAGCCCTCGTTTATCCGGCGCACGAGGCAACGGCACCAAATAGGAAGCGCGGCGACGCAGCTGATGACGTTCGCACGGGAGCACCTGCTCTGCCAGATTGTCAAGTGACGTTTTTTTGTTGTTGTTGGTGTTCTCGTTTTCCTTTTTGTTTTACTTCCACGCGCTGCATTTGCCTTCTCCACTCTCTCCCTCTCTCTCTTTTCTCCACTTTCCGTTTGCTTGTTCCGTGTGCGTCGCTCTCACGCAACGTTGATCTCGTGCGCTTCCTGTGCGGATGGAAGGATTAGGGAAAAAAGGAAAACACCTGTTCTCATTTTTAATCGCCCCCACTCGCGATTGGAACTCACCGTTTGCTATTCGCTTCGCTCATCGTTGTACCTGCCTCTTTCAGCGTCTGGCGCTGTGGTGGGGAAAGGAGCACGTGTCACTGCGACAGCCACAAACGCGAACAAACTCACACAATAGCAACAGAGCGGAGAACTGCGTAGCGGGGGTGTGCGGAATAGCAGAGGGAGCTCAATACGTACTCTTTCCTCTTTTATCTGCACCCGCGTCATCTTCGTCTGCGTCCACGCCGCTGCTGTCTTCTCGCTGAGTCCAACTATACAAACCCCTCCAGCGGACACGGCCTCCAGACGCCTCTATACCCTCCGAGCCTCGTCGCTTCTCTCGCGGGCTTTCGTTTGGGTTTTGTTTTCCTCCTCTCGTTGCCTTCGTAGTTGGTTCGGACGGCTGCCTAAACACCAATCTTGTCTTGAATACCCTTCTTTTTCTTTCGCTGAACAAACAACTCCTTTCTGCGTTCTCCTCAGCTTTCTTTGTTGTTTTCACGCAGTCGCGGCCTTACGCACCAGCAAAAATAGGAAAATGGGAATCTGCTGCGGCTCTGCTAAGAACGAGGGCGGGGGCACGAGCCCCAAGACGGCCGGCAAGTCCTCGGCGGAGAATCAATTTCATGATGTCCCCGCTCGTGCGCTGCGCGTGGAGCCGGTTGCCTTCGACATGTTCGTGCCGGGGAACGCAAGCCCGGCGGACCCTGACGCGAAACTCGGTGAGTCGCGCGCCCTCAACAACATGAGCTGCACCCTCTTCGATGCCAGCATGCACTCCATGCGGGACATGAGCATGACGGCGGACCACACCGCCCCCTTCGATCCCCTCGCCCAAACCATGAACAACATGAGCTTCACGAACAGCTTCAAGGCGGTGGACAGGAACGTGGTGCGCGACTTCATGAACAACGTGGCACGCCTCGCGGAGCACGGCAGGGGAAATCAGAGTCTGCTGGAGGAGAGCATGCAGAGCCCCATCACGGCACTGGAGAATAAAAGCCCCGTGCTTGGCGGCAGCACACCGAGCACCGCCATCACACAGGAGGACCTGAATTACATCGCGGGCGGCGCCACGCTGCCGGATCGCGTGGCACGGCTGCAGGAAGTCGAGACCGTCCTGCGCCAGACCATCGAGGGGACGTGGCGGGTGGACTCGATGCTGCTGCAGCTGGCGTTCTGCCAGGTGGTGCCCACGCTGCGCCAGCGCCGCCGCCCGTGGGGGACCGCGCCACCGGCCGGATCGAGCACAAAGCGAGGCAGCGTGCAGAGCCCCGCTGCCACCAAGACGACGCGCGCCGCGAAGCAGCCCGTACTGGTGATCCACGCACCCGGTGTGCAGCTGGACCGCTCGCTCTCCTTGGAAACCTCTGCAATGACCAAGTCCGGCCTACGCCCCAGCGACACCACCATCGTCGACAACAAGGCAAGCAAAGCAAACTTCTCGCCGCCGAGTGGGGGGGAGAGGAACTCACCAGAGTCGAAGGAGGCGTCGCTGGAGATGAGCTTCTCGCGCTCGCGGATGGAGGCGCCGCCCGGGGCGAAGGTGGAGCAGTACGAGCTGCTGGCGCTGACCGGGCGTGACGTGGACGCGCACAATTGCCCTGGCGCACACGTCGAGAACGAAATGTGGGACTTCCTGGCCACGGACCGAGGCGCGGCGACGCTGAACGAGGGCAAGTGCATATTTCGCTTCATGTCCAGCTCCCTCGCCAAGGTGGACGCGGAGACGCGGGCGACCGTTGAGCCCATCATCAACCTCAGCTCCTTCAAGGACGAGGTGACGGAGAATAACACGCCAAAGGTGGACGTCAACGACCCCGATGATGCCAGCAAGTACATTGCAATTGTTGTGAAGACAATGTACCTGCTGCCGGGCATCACCGTGCAGAACATTTCGAAGGACCTGATGGTGTCCCCCGAGTACCAGAAGGCGTGTCAGCCGTCGGAGAACAAGGTGCAGGACTGCGACTTTGCGGACACCTTCCGTCTTACCATCACCATCGTCCGCTTCATCTTCAGTCTGACAATTCAGTTCAAGGTGTCGGAGATTACCGACCGGGCCGTGCTGGAGTCGCTCGCCGTGTGCGACGGGATGGTGCCCGCGAAGGCCATCATGCTGGAGCGCACGAAGCGTCACGTTGCCAAGACGGACGCCACGGCGAAGGTGCGGTCGGTGCTGCTGTACTACCCCGTCAACGATGGCGTGTTGGTCGACAACTTAACCATCGTGCTCAACACCTCTCTGCCCAAGGTAGTGTCGAAGATTATGAACTCCTTTGGCTCACAGGGTGCGGCGCAGTCGGTCACGACGACGAAGCTGACGCGAGACTACATGGTCAAGCGCTTTGGCGACACGCGTACCAAGTAACACTCGAAGAGGAATTTGCGCTCGATTCGGAACCCCCAATTCGGCTCCCCATCTCCTCTCCCTTTTCGTTGTCACGCTCTCCTGCTTCTTCCGTCTTCTTCCTCCCGTATCCCTGATGCTGCTGACGCTGCTGGGAATGCTGGGGCGTCTCTCAAGGGAGAGAGAGAGAAGCAAGTGCCGCCCGGTTTAAACCCCATCGATGACAGGAACTGGCGTTTTCTGAAGAGGGAGGGGGAGGGGAGGGGCTTCTCGCTGTGGATCTCCTGTGTTCTTTCTGTTTGTTTTGATGCCGTATGTGCAGAGGAGCTGCTGCGACTCGCACGCTTGTGTGCCTTTTCTTTACTCTTTTACGTGTTTTTCTTGCTGCCTTCTCAAGCAGTACCATACGTGGTGGCGGTTTGAGTTCTTGTGACATCAGCGTGACGCTTTCTCGTTCTGTGACGTTAGCGTAGTTGTGATCGTGCCGTGGCAAAACGGCTTCCTGCGTCGTTGTCGCGCCACGTCCGTATCGCGTCTCTTTTTCTTTTTTGCTAATATTATTTCCTTCTATATAGCTTCCTGCGTGTGGAGATGAAACCGTAGTCCTCTCTTTTCCCTAGAATCCGCGCCGTCGTCCTTCGGTCTCGAAATACACATATATAAGCAAGGTGGTAGGGACTTGGAAAATAGATGTGCGTATGCGCGCGTGTGTGTTTGTGCCGTCTCTAGACGCTCCCTTTTTTACCTGTAGCGATATGCACGTCCTTCTCTTCCGTTGAAAACATCAACCTCTGAAGTACATCGGAGCGCTGCGGCCTCATCGTGTACCTATTAATGCTGCCGCAAAGGGGTGTAACCTGCCAGCGCTTTAGCTCGCGTTGTTGTCGGGCAGAGCCATCGAAAAACTTTGTGCGCAACAACTCTTCTGTGACGAACGCGGCTACTCGAAATAGGGAGGCGAGAAGACCTGTGTCGACGCCTTTGGGGTGTATACAGATGAAGTGCACAGCGCAGTCACGGCGCACCGAGAAGAATGCAAAGGTGTGTCACCGGCGTAAAACAAAATGGAAAGGATGGCAGTGCGATGGCGCTTCGCTTTTCATTGGCTGCATCTCTTCCCTTTTTTCTTCCCTTTTCTCCCGGTTCTTCGTCACTCTCCCTCCCTCCCTCTCTGCTCTGGACCTCCGTCTCCTCCGTCGTTTTCTGTGTGCCTGTTTGACGTCCTGCATCCTTCGTTTGGCCCAACGACTTGATCGAGACACAACCCTCCTATTACATGGCAGTGACTCCGATCTCTACTTCTCCGACGCCTCACCCATTACCCACAACGTGTTCTTCCCTTCACGCACACACGCACACACACTCACACACAACGAAAGATTCAAAAGATCGCCGTACACTTCTTCCGTCAACTACTGTACTTGCTCTTTTCATTTTTAGACTCTCCAGAACAGCGTCGCGTGCTTCTACACTTCTCTCCTTGGCTCATCAATCATTAAAAAGGGAGGCTACACCGCCGAAGCACTTGATGCAAAAGAAGGGCAAGTGCAGCCTTTTTCTTGTATTCCTGAATACGTTTTTGTCTCTGCTTTTGCTTTCACGTCTTCGCAGTTCGGTATATACTCTTTGTTCTATCTTCTCTTGCTATTCTTCACGCGTGAAGGCACTCGCCGCACCTCATTGTTTCTAAATTTAGATATTTTTCTTTTCTACTAGATCTTTTCTGTTTGCTTGCTTGCGTTTTCTCTCAGTACGTTCTCAGGTTTTATTTAGTCCCATCATCATCACACTCTCTTCTCCGACTGTTTTTTTTTTCTTCCTTTTAAATTGTTAGTTAAGGTGAGACAGCGTCCCTAACAACTTCTTTGTCATTTGTACTCTTTACTTGTCTGTGCCACGCTGTACGCGTTAATATATATTTATTTCTTCTGCCTTTTTTTCTTCCGTGCTTTACACTCTTTTCTCAATAGCGGTTCTCTGGAGGTAATAAATAGAGAAGTAATATATATATATATTTATTTATTTCATTTCATTCTCAAAGCGTGCAGGTTTTTTTTTTTTGGTCTTCTCTTTGAAGGTACGCTGCGTCGCCTCTGCGCCAACTCGCCACCGTTCGTGTGCACCGTTTCCCCCTTCGCTGTACCCCGCAAACGGAAGATAGATTTGAGAGAACCAAAGGAACATGGAGTTCAAGCGGTGTAACTCCTCGCGCGGTCCGCTGTCGTCTGCGCGCGGGGCGCAAACAGCGAAGACGAACGGCAGCAACACCGCCGGCACTCCGTTGCGTTCTACCACGCCTCTCAAGAAGGTGTCCGCGCGTGGTGTTCCCCCGCCGGTTCCTAGCGCCTCAACGCCCGGGCTGCCGCCCCGCGCCGTCGGTCCGGTGTCGCCGCGGGGGACACGCCCAAGAGCGGCAGATGGCAGCGCCCGCAGCTCCTTTCAGCGCACCAACTCCGCGGCCGCTGTCGCCTCTCCACAGAAGTCTGCCCCAGCAGCCTTTGAGCGCAGCGGGTCGTCCACTGGCACTAAAGGCGGCTTTAAACGCACCAACACGGCAGCGGGCATACGCCGTGCTGAGGTCATAAAGCACAACAACCGCGTCAACGTGTATGTGCGCGTGCGTGCGTTCCGCGACGACGAGAAGAGCGGCGAGCTGAGCCAGCTTGCGGTGAACATGGACAACGACGCGGTGGAGGTGACGGTGCCGAAGAAGGGCCGCTTCACCTTCGGGTTCGACGGGTGCTTCTGGAGCAACGACCGCGCGTGTCCGTCCGGCAAGACGTCGTCGTCGCAGGAGGACGTGTTCGAGGAGGTGGGCCGGCCGCTCGTGGAGAACGCGCTGGCGGGCTACAACGCTGCGGTGATGGCGTACGGGCAGACGGGCAGCGGCAAGACGTACACGGCGTTCGGGCCGCCGGGGTCGATCGGGACGTCGCAGGAGGGCCTCATCCCGCGCGTGTGCAACATGATCTTCGCGCGTGCGGCGAACAGCGCGCAGAAGGGCGTGACGTACACGGTGTCCGCGTCGATGCTGGAGGTGTACCTGGAGGACGTGTTCGACCTGCTGAACCACCGCAAGGAGCTGAGCGTGCGGAACGACTTCACGAGCAACACGTTCAGCGTTGTGGGGCAGAAGACGGTGCTGGTGAAGAGCTACAAGGACGTGCTGGCTGTGCTGAACAAGGCGGAGCCGCTGCGCACCTTCGCCGCGACGAACATCCACGACCACTCGTCGCGCGCGCACACGCTGTTCCTGCTGGAGGTGCAGACGCACTTCGACGCGCCGGACCTTGCGCCGCGCTGTGCGCGGATCCTGCTGGCGGACCTTGCCGGGTGCGAGCGCATCAAGCTCGCGGGGACGGAGGAGGGGCTGGCGTTCGAGCAGGCGCGCAACATCAACCTGTCGCTGCTGGCGCTGGGCTCGTGCATCGAGGCTGTCGCGACGCGCGGGCGCGGCAACGCGCGGCCCGTGCCGGAGTTCCGCAACAGCACGCTGACGAAGCTGCTGAAGGACTACATCGGCGGCAACAGCATCTCGACGATGATGGTGACCATCTCGCCGAGCGAGCGCGACGCGAACCTGTCGGTGCAGACGCTGCGCTTCGCCGACCGCGCGAAGCAGATCACGACGTACGCGAAGGTGAACACGGTGGACCCGGAGCAGGCGAAGCAGGACGGGTCGGACATGAGCGACCGGTGGCGCGACGAGTACCTGCGCAAGAAGGAGGCGCTGTACGCGGAGTACCAGCTGAAGGGAACGATCGAGAAGCTTGTGACACGCATCGCGGACCTGGAGGAGAAGCTGCGCGAGTCGCCGGACGACGAGCTTGCGGTGCACCTGACGACGGAGATTGAGGAGCTGCAGAAGGCGCTGACGGAGGCGGACTACCAGATGGGGCTGCAGCGGCAGATCCTGTACGGCGAGTTCCTGATGCTGGAGGACGAGCTGCGCGAGATGAACACGAAGATGCAGGAGATGAAGGAGGAGCACGAGGAGGCGCTGGAGGGCCTGCTTGGCGAGGAGGCCGGGCGGTACGAGGAGATGAAGCGCGGGTACGAGGTGCGGCTGCGCGCGCTGCAGGACGAGAGCGACGCCGCGCGCACGGCGGCGGACGACGAGATCGCCGCGCTGAAGCGCCTCGTTGCGGAGCTGCGCGAGAAGCTGGCCGCGAAGGAGGCGGAGTGCGCAGCGCTGGAGCGCGAGATGGCGGCGCTGCAGGCGAAGTACGACCGTGACACGGCCGCCGCGGCGCACACGCGTGGCGAGCTCGAGGAACAACTGGAGGCACTGCAGGCGGCGCACGAGCAGCACACGGCGGCTGCGGCGACGGCGGAGGCGGCCGCTGCGTCGACGATCGCTGAGCTGCGCGAGGCGGTGGAGGGGCTGCGCACGCTGCACGCGACGTCGGAGGAGAAGGCGTGTGTGCAGGTAGCGCAGCTGGAGGAGACCTCGACGGAGCTGCAGCGCTGCATCGAGGAGCGCGACAACCAGCTTGCGGCTGTGGAGGCGCAGCTGGGGCACACGGAGGAGCAGGTGTGCACGCTGACGCAGCGCATGGCGGCGGCGACGAGCGCGGCGGAGCAGAAGGAGGCGGAGCTGGTGCGTGAGGTGGAGGCCCTGCAGTCGACGCTGAAGCAGCTGCACGAGGACATGGAGAGCACCGAGGCGGCGCACGCGGATCGCAGCGCGAAGCAGCAGAACGAACACGCCGCAACACAGCAACAATTATGGGAGACCGAGGACGACCTCCGCGATACGCAGGCCAAACTAACGCACAGCGAAGCCACTCTTGCCGAGACACAGG